ATGTAGCGATTACATAATTCGATTAATTTAATTTTTTTAGTTTCTATTTCTGTTTCGATCGTAAATCAGGTGACTTAACCCTTTTAACTCTCACGTCTGACCAAGACAGAATATCTCCTTACAATATCAATACAATATTTACCAGATAAGTGATGAGAATAAAGAAAAATATCAATTTGGGGGAAATAAGTTGACGCGATTCTAGATTCTCTGAACTAATATTATAAGAATTGTATGGTTGACGGTAAGGAGAATTACAAATTTGATCTGGGAGTTAAAGGGTAAATATAAACCATGACCCATTCAGTCTATCGACTGAAATGAAATATTCTGGAGTCGATAAGACAGAGAGGTATTTACATGCGTTACTTGGAGGTAATTTCGGCACTCTACGTCACGGCAAATAGCACAGATAGTCCTCTACGAAAAATTGTTTGAGTGAAACTGCATTGAGGGTGACATAATCATCTCACTTGATGACGAACATGACGTAAAACACAGTTTCACTCGGAAAAGGGGGAATTATGTTAAGGTTGATCATTATTAAACTGGCGCAGCTAAGGAATAAAGGGCCTTTCATCTTTTAAGAACAAGGATTAACACATTAATTCCTAAGCATTTTGCAATTCAATTAAGAAAATTATAGTAATAAATGAAAATAGTTTGGCTTTCTAACTTTTGAATAGCATGCACAAAACCTCATTCAACCTTATTGTTGAAACTTCGCTCACGAAGAACAAATTGGCGCATACGAGAAAGAGACCCATATCTATGAACCTTGAAGAAATAATCGAACGCACACAGATGTTAGGACGCTCTTTCTAATTATGCGCTTATCGACGACGGCAAATTTTGCCTCTGGTGCCAAGTATTTACTTCCCGTGCGTAGTGATCTAAGCAAAGATGCCAATTCGGTGGATTGGTGATTCAAAGGCTGACGCGGCGCACTTTCAGGCCATTTTCCCGAAACTCACATGAAATTACAGCCAAATTTAATTGAACCGAACTAGCTTGTTCTTCTTTACCCCGGAGGGCCTAGATTTCACTCTACTTTCGAAAGCGTGCATGTGTTAATCTGGAACAACAAGATATTATTCTCACGACCGACAAAGGTCACTCAGTTACATGATGCAAAAAAAAAAAAAAATGGTGATCATCATTTATAATCCTGTCGTTCTTCCGATTTCAACGCGTTTAGATTATCTGCTGTCATGAATTTTCCCTGATTGAGCGGAAACGTAACATGAAGGCTCCTAGGAAGCTGTACTGAGCAAAACAACTAAGCGTTTTAAAAACGAAAAAACTTTACTGAATAATTTTGAATATGAATGAAGGGCTCATGAGGTGCTTAAACCCAGGTAAACATATTTACCTTTGAAACACGCTTTCGATGTATTTTTAATGACCAAACTTGAAAGCCTCGTGCACGATCAGAAAGAACTTATGCTATGTGAATTTATATTACTGAAATAAATTTTAGAGGATTTGAATTTGCAAATTAAAGTCTAACAGCATCACTGCCCAGTTAGTTGCCCAATGAGCTGAGAATTGTTATCTGTTCCGAAGGTTGCATTATGTATATTAGCTTTAAGTTCAAAGTACTCCGTTTAGATGTGAACAACATGTACAAAATATTTCGCATGGAAATCGAAAGCGAAGAACGATGGATCGCGTATTTCAGAGGATGTAAAAGGCATATTTAGTACCCCTGAAAACAAGTTTTCATTTCTTTTCAAATTAAAATCATTCGGAAGTCACAAGACATCTGCGTTCGATCACCTGAATCCATTGTTTCCTTTTTCCGCTCGGTGGCTCAGCAAAAGGAAAACCCACCGACAATAGATGATGCAATAACGACAAATACAATTTTGAACCACCGCGCGGTTAAAATCAGTGAAATGAAAGAAGGAATTACTTAGTACATATTTCTTTCTAGGGCTTTTTTAAGATTTCCCCAGAACGTGTGAAATGCCAGCAACAATGTTTGTTTAAAAACCTCGAGTAGGCCTTGATGAAAAAAATATTTTTTCGTGTAACGAACACGAGTGACAATGACGCTTGGAAAAAAGCCAGACAAACAATATCGCATCATGTAACACCACCTACGATGAAAATCCTAGTAATCCTGCTGCTTTTTGCGAGCAACTTCTTGCCCCTAGAATTTCACATGTACTTACCTTATAGCGCTCAACTCTACAGCATCTTTCGGCCGTTTGGCAACATGGGGCATTAGAGACAAATGACTTATCTCCACCATAGGCCAACAAACACTGAATAGAGCTGCGAAGGCTCCATAGTATGCCACCGGAACCCAGTCAGGGCTATCCTCGTTACAAGCTAAACACGGGCTGAACACAAACGGCCAGATCAGCGCTATTCCAACACTACCGAATAAATGCCAGATCTTTCTATTGCCGTATTTCTTGGTGATTTTCTTCGAGAGACTCTTGTCGCAGCCATAACCGATAAACGGAGTGGAAATCGCATCCGCAATTTGAGAAGCGAGAAAAATTAGACCAGTTCCCTTAGCGGAGATTTTCACGATTTTGTTGAAAAAGATTATAAGATAGGTAAACCACGCTTGAATACAAAGATCGTTGAATACATGCCCTACTCCATAGCAGATCTTTTGTTTCAGTGAAGTTCTTTCTTCTTTGTGTACCAGCTTTTGGCTCGGTTTATTACGTCCGCAAATCCACACCATTTTAGTTTTCTCCCGTTATCCTCTTAAAAAGGAAGATAAAAGCCGGTCCCGCGCGATTTTCGCCTTTGAACTTGCTAGGGAGCAACTGCAACGCCGGCTTTGCTCGATGTGACATTAATGTTCGAGCAAGGAAAGCCTCTTACGATTTCACTTGTTAAATTTGGAAACCTTCGTCATAAGCCTATTGTTCTTCCATCAAAAAGTTTGACAGTTGTCAGAGTGACATCAAATCGAAACCAATCATGTGGCGGATCCCAGGGTAGCGATGAAATCCACAGCCAAGTACACCTGGTTAATTGAGTGTGTTTAGCTTTGGTGATATGAAAACCCCTTTTACGCATTTCTGGCAGAAGGTTACTCGGAAAGTACTTCGAATTTGTTTTGCCGCAGACATCTAGACGTCACGATTTTAGAATTTGTAATAATTACCGCTTTTAGCTCTCTGGCTTTTTTGTTGTTCATGTCGCCTTGGCGAAAAACAAAGAATATTTGATATTTACTCTGAAGATCAATCAGCTCCCTACAATAGATATTGATAGACTTCTCTATTCATTTACTGTGTTTACAACGTAAAAATAGATTTGTGATCGCGATTCTTCAGAACAAGAAAATTTTTATTTTACAGCAGAAAAAATAATCTTTTGCGGTTCCTGCAAATCCTAGTCCTACGAAGAGTGTAAACGTCATTGTACATGATTTAAGGGGTGCATTGCAAAACAGCATGCACAACATGTTTATTTCCTACAGGGAAGGCCTTTTTTTCTTATTGAAATCCTTTCGGAATTTTCGCAATCTCTAGAAACGAGTTTCCGAAAAGCACAAATGCGTTTTCCGGTTTTCCGGTTTTACTGTCACGAGCATTTTAAAGGTCAAACTGAACAAGGTCAACAAACAGACTTTGTCGTATGATTCGCTCTGTTGACATAAATAATATTTTCATAAAGATAACATCGAACGGAAAATCGGGTCGAGTGAAGGGTGGCGTGATCCGATCTAGTAGAGTAAAATGTCTTTTTAAATTTCTAATTTTAATTTTCAAATCGAGGAGTTTCCTCGTCACGAGGCACTGTTGCAAGAAATATTAGGAGCAAACTCATGCCGATTTCCTAGAGAGCCAAATCGGCCGGATGAGTAGTCTTACATTTAAATGAAGCCGATTCGACCTTTGGGTCATGCACGGTGCTTTCATGTGATCATTTTTACAGTTTTTACATTTTTCAACTCACAGAAAAAATAGCCTGCGGAAAACACTTCATTCAACTAGACATACTGGTATTAACATTAAAAAAACCAACTGTGGTTTGTCCGCAGAGGGCAGACTGAGCTGTGTTTGTCAGTAAAGGTGTGATAGGGCGTGTGATTGACGTTAAAAATTCCAACGGCGTTGTCATGTGGACAGTAATGAGCACGAAGACATTGTTTTCGCATGGCAAGGCCGCAATTCATTTGCAAACGAGTTGTTCTCACCCACGTAGTGACAATGAGGGCAGTAGCTGTAAGAGAAAGACAAATCGAACCATTTATAGACAAGAAGTATGGAAATATTGATAGACCGAAATAATTTTTGCATCAGATAAACAAATACAGAGATGACGGGAGACTTAAAATAAATTTATGCAGTAACAACATGTTTTTAATTCAACACACATATCTATATTTTCATTCACAGGGAACGTTTAGGGCTGATAAACTAAAACTTGTTCAGCACTGTCAGTGGTAGCCATAAAACTCATCATAATTTTGTCACATCTATATGCACAAGGAGAACCTACAGAATAGATAAATATTCCGTTTTGGGGGCACTTTGTGTCGGTGAGGTCCGAGATTATAATTATTTCGGTTGATTTTTGGGATAAAATTACAGATAATTTGGACATTGAGAACCATAGGATCGTATTATGACTAGCGCGTGAGGGTGAGAGTGATCAAATTCAAAAAGTAAACAGTGAAGTTTCGGTACACAGCGGACCTGTTGGTCTCATTTCCGACCGTGATAAGGGATGCTTCCAAACGAAATTTTTAAAGAAAAATCAAAAGGTTTTTAGGATATGTGTAGCTGAGATAACGGAAATAATTCATGGAAAGCTTGCGTGAGGCCCCCCCTTTTTTTTCGGAAAAACACGTAAGCTTTTAGCTGTCACAAAGTTCTGGGATACATCATGCTTTTTTATGTAACATTCCAAATATTTTCACTAATGTTATTAAGGGGTTTGCCTGATGTTATTATGGTTATGAACAGATGTTATGCAAGGTGCGCACGTGGAAGGTGCACGTGCTGACAACTTTCGATCCCTGTATAATAGAAGAAGATTCGTGGACTCCCCAAATTTTCTTTTATAGCTATCATGCGCTCTCAAATGCGACATACTGCAGGGTTATGTTGGAATTTAACAAAGGATGATGCAGACTACATGGTTCTCAAAATGTTATTCTAGGGTCAATATTTTAACCAAAATTTCATCCTTTCGCTTGTTTGCTTATTAGGCATCTAACAAACGCGAGGGAAGCAGACTGGCAGGGTATGGAGCGCGGGAGACTTCCCCCCCTCCCTCGTACAACTTCAGTAACAGCATCTTACTCCCTCCTCAGCCTCCTAAGTTCAGCCCTTGGCCTGCTACAGTGGTGAATGGAATGTGATATAAATTATCTGGTGAAAAGAAGGCGATGGTCTCAACTTTTGATAGCTTTAAACAATAATATAACTTATAGAAAAGCTTTATCTTAGGTTTACACTAAATACCACTACTTGCGTGTTCAACATAAATAAATGAAATCCCGCATCATCTAAATAGCGTTTCTTTGTCTATATAACCAAACATTTTCAAAAAGAAAGTTAATTTAAAACTCCAATTTTTTCTTTGTAGCGTGGCCCTTAAGATACGAAAACTCAATCTTGATCTTTGTCTGTATCTTCATTTCAGCTTCTTGCAATTGATTGCATAACATCATCAAAAAATTTGAGATTAGGACCTTCAAACCATCATTTTCACTGCATCGTTTTTTTTAGCCAACCCTATGGCAGTGCAGCATTGTTGCGCCTCCCATCGGCCACTTCTCATTCAAACGTTAGAACTAGGAAGTTCAGCGATCTTTTCGTAAAGGTCTGCAAGACATTCCACGGGTATTGTTTGCGTGCTCTGATCTGCTTTTTCAACTGTGAAAAGTTAACGTACTTCAAGTAAGAAAATGAGGAAAATCTTATTTAAGGAATTAGTAATTATTTATTTCCGGGGGGCGAGGTCGTGGAGGCTGGGGGGGTCACTTTGTTTTCAGGGGGTACGGAGGACTAATAGAGTATAAAGGAGATGACTTAGGAAAATTGATGGCAAATTAACTGCCATTAACGGGGGGGGGGGGGGAAGCATAAGAATATAACAGAGCATTTGGGGGATCGGGTGAATTTTATTGTGGAACAACCTAAATCCCCAACCCATCCCCCCTCCGCCCCTTTCCCAAGGTGCTAAATAATGACTCTTTGGGGATTGAAACTCAGCTGCTTGTGGGTCGTGAAAAAAAAAAATTAGAAAAAAAACCATATCTTTCCAAACGTAACCATTATGCTACTTAATTAATATCCCATCTGATCAATATATTGATCAGATAGGGTGTAATTATATATATAATTTGACTAATTAACAATATCATTAAGCTCATAGCGTCTCATGTGTGAGAATTAATCATCGTTGCATTTAAGAGAAGATAAAAGCCCACTGTTCAAGTATAACGGGTCGTAACTTACTTCTTGGCCGACAGGACAAGACAAGTTTTGACTTGAAACAAAGACCAACGATTGCCAAGGAAATAACAGCTGATATTCCTGGCGTTAAGGTAAATACAAGGCGCACATAACTGCCACATTGTTCACATATCACCCTGAAAAAGAAATGTACTACACAAGTGAATAGTGTATTTCGCGCGCACTGATTGGCTAGTTCAGAAGAGAATAGCAAGTACCATTCAAGTCCAATGTGGTGAATAATTGTCAAAGGTAGAAAGTTCTCGCTGACAAGTTATGAGTTAAATTACGTAGTTAGTAAAACTGGTAGAATATCAAAATTCGCCCGCGAGCATACCCTTTCTGTCATAGCACTGCGGCACTAAATTTTTCCCACTCGGAAGAAAGTTTGCGGCCTCGAGCAACGCAAACTGGTGACAGGTCTGCGAGGGGTATATGGTCCCATCATTTTGCCAACCCCCGCTAAATCTCTCGCCTAATTCGAGGCTTCAAAAAAGCGAAAAAACGCTTTTACCGCATCGCTAAAAATCAGGACCTGATCGCCGCTAGATATTAAATGTACATACCCGTCAGGACTATCAGGATAAAATGTCTGAATCACAAGCACCACCGCACCCACGAATCCTTTGTCCAAGAAACCCATTACTGAGTAAACAAAGCCTCCGGAGGCCTGGAGGAAAAGGGACAAAAACTTGTTCAGACAAAAACCTGTTACTTAATCTACTATCTTGTCCAAAAGAGATTCTTCTCCAAAGCCTCTTCCTCTGTTTTCTCTCTGCGTACTATGTAAGTCGTGCAAGACGACATTGAAGCACGTTGGAGATTCCTTTTCTCTTACCTTATCGATTCCAATCATGTCAGCGGTCATAGACAGCACAGTCACAAGCATGACAGAATTTCCGCAGCCCAAAATGAACGCCGCCGCGTACACCCCCTCTCGGCCCGAGATTGTCTGAAGATAAAACCAAGCGCATGCGCCAAGAACGATTGCGCAGGCTAAACAGAAGGTCCACTGAAAAAAGGCAAAGAAACAGAAGGAAAATGAATTCCTCAGTCAATTAAGTAAAGTGATATTTTTCCTATGACGATGGCTTTTTTTTTGTATCATTGAGGACTTTTCATCATTACTGTCCCTTTCCACTCCCGGAAATTGCGTTACACATTTGGTTGAAAATGAAAGAAAGAATATGCCCTCCTATGCACTGATCACTGTGAGTCAAGGTTGGATTTCTCTCTCAGAATTGGTTGATTTGAAACAGCAAGATAGAATGGGAACTGTTCAAGTCAAATTGAGTTGAAAACAGGGGGAAATGAACCTGTGATGCTACGTCGGTGGGAAAGTATAACAAGATAACTTAGTTTTATTAACAGAGTTGATCATGTAAATCAGCCACCATAAAGAGTTGCTAAGCTGACGTTTCGAGCGTTGGCCCTTCGTCAGAGTGGAGTTAAAAACAATTGAACTTTGTGTGGCTGTTTGTGGGACAGACTTTGATTTAACCTTATAGCCCTGAGAGGGACTGGCATCTAATTTCTCCTTACAATTTAACACTTTTGAATTAAACACTAGTTGAAGGAAATGATCACTGAATTCCGAGTTCTTGATTGTTAAACAAATTCTCCTTTTCAGTACCAAAGGAAATGTATGGTGAACAATGAGAAGAACATACATACTGATTTTAGAGTGTAAATGGTTAAGTTTTCACCTTGGTACCCAGGCTTTTGCTGATTCTCTTTACAAGAACACTTGAAATGGCACCAGTAACCAGGATGACCAGAGGAAAATATGCGATGGCCTCCTGCAAAACGAAATTGAGAGAAAGACGTACTATAGTTAAAAATGAAAGAGAAAATTATAAAAGAAACGAGGACGCGTTGAAGTATAAAAGCCCGTTAATGAAGAGACTTCAGACTTCAGACTTCAAGTTTAAAGTTTCTGAAGTTCGTCGTCGGCTTTTGTGGGAAAGATATCTGTCTAAAAGTTTATTGTCGACCGAGAAATGTCTCCATGCTGTTTCTACTTGTTTTGTGGAAAACATTGAAAGCTGTAATCGAGTAACGTTTTTACAGTTGGCCTGGGGTAAGCAAAAGCTAATGGAACTTTGTGCTGAGTATAAGAGGAAACAAATTCTGCTTAATCTTTTTTGATTATACCCTTTCAGCTGAACCGTGGAATTACGAAAGATGTTCATTTAAACATACTTTCTGAAAGTGAAGCGTCTCCGTCAAGTAGAATGGAAAATAGGATTGGGAAACATTCACTGTGATACGACTGCAGGTGTAAACGACGCCCATCTGAAAGAAAAACACATCAGTTGGTCAGTGCATGGGCAAATACAGCTTACATTATTAAAACTGACACATTTCACAAAAGACCTTGACTTTTGAAATGCATTGATGCGCAAGGGCGAGTCGTTTTTCTAGTAAACAAGAGGTTTCCCGCCATGTGCGGGAGAGCGGGAAAACGCGTGCAACCAAGTTTCGACTGATTTTAATGTCTAGCTTGCTATTGGCTGAATTTGTGCAAGCGTGGGTTCCATCGGCCAATTGCGGAAAGGTAGTGGAAGCTCCATCTCACCGCGTAAAATTGAGGATCTTTGAACCACTGCCGCCATGTTTTGGGTTTGTGTGAAGGGGCGTCTCTCTCCACAATCTCCACACAGAGGCTTTGATCAGATGAATGTTCGTCCAGCGGTTCTAAGTTAGAACAGAGAATACACAATTACATAAAAGCTTGTTTTTGTGGGGCGTGTGATACTAACGTTTGTCGACAGAAAATACTGAGTTGATAAAATAATAAAACGGAAGAATGGAAATAGGAAACCAAAAGGGAGCAAAGAGGACAAAGGAAAGGGAAGAATAAAGCAGATTGAAATTTGAACAAATTTTGCTTAAGATTTCAGATTAAGGACCCAACTGACAATTAGCTCCTTCAAAGCTAGAAGTTCTGGCTGACATAAGACTATAGTTCGACCAGAACGAAATTCTTCTAATCCACTGAATTTCATGGAACTGCTTGCTGGATCGCTGAGGATTTCAATCAATGAAAACGAAACTGAACTGAGAGGAAAGAAAATGTGCAAAAAATGTTTCACTATCAGAGGAAGCGAAAGCCCCCTCCCTCTTCTCAAAGAAATAACTTGAAAGTACAATTTTTATACAACTGCTAACCTTCTGTGAGTTCCTTCCTTTCGCCAGTTGTTGAAGTAGCTGGTTCTATTGTTCCCCAGTGAAACACGATAGAAAACAGAAATCCAATCGCTACAACAATTAAGCTGAGTTGCTGAAATCAAATAGAAACGCTGTAAATATAATAAAACGTTTATGACTTCGTCAGCTCTATCGAATATTTCCATCAGTGTATTTTCTTAAAATTTTCTAAAAATCTTTTAAACATATCATTAACAGGGAGAACTGTTGAGAAGTATTTAAAAAAAAAATGAAAAATAACAGTAAAAAAATTAGGGGCAAAAAACAGGATATTGCTACAGCGCAAAAGGTTGAAACAAACACTCGAACAGGAAAGATGCTTTTTATGGCGTATGCGCGTTCTCAAACCCTGCTTAGTTGGAAATTTGCGCTGAACGTAAGATTCCGGAGTGTTTTAGTACAAAAAATATCGTTGGAATTTCTTTTGAAGAAAAGTAAGTGACAAAATTTCATGGTACCGTGAATTCTTTGGCTAAGTTAGGGCTGATGCCTTCTTCGCTCGCTTGTCCTAGCAGGATCCATGTTACCACGTAGATGAAGATGCCGCATACAAAAGTTAAACCAGATCTGAAAGCAGACGTTAATGCACAAATTTACATGTGAATACTTTGATGATAAAAAAAGGACTTTCTGAGATTATCAACCCGCTTAAAGGAACAAACAACAATTAGCATGAGCTGTATTGCTTTTGAATAATTTTGTTCGAGGCTGACAAAATTGAAATTATCCATGTTAACATTGGCCTTCATTGTTTGTTTTAATCTTAACTTTTGCTAACCTGTTTAGTCTGAAAGCAAAGGCTTGGAAGATTGTTTGTTTATAAACAGAAAGCGCTAATAGGGGGAGGCTATAAATGTTCAATTAAAATTTCACTTAAAAACTTTACAATCTGGACCATGCTGGATTTTCAAATTTAATTTACGAAACAGGGGCAGGGAAGTCCAAAAACATCTTTGAAATCACAGCTGCAGCTACAAAAAATTTCTCTCGTGCGAAAACTAAAAAAGACAGAGGCAAAAAAATCTTTATTTTGATTTCTTTGATTTTATTTTGGAGACGAACTTTTGAGATTGATTTACTTTCTCCCAAAAAAGTACAGATATAATATCGAGAAAAAAGAACCTTTTCCGATAATTCTATTAAAATCACGGTCAACGGTCAGCCTGTTAAGACCTGCTTAATATCACTTTTACCTGACAGCGTTCAACTCAACAATTTCACCGGGTCGTCTGGCGATCTCTGGAATGAGTGAAAGATGCGCGATTTGCACTCCTGCCCAACCGACGTGGAAAATTACCACTGTAACCGAGTAATACAGAAGTGGGAGCCATTTGGGGCTATCTTCTGAGCATGCTAAGCAAGGACTGAAGATGAACGGCCACGCGACTGCCACGAAAATCGTGCCAAACAAATGCCAAGTCTTTCTCTTACCGTAAGGCGCGAAGCGTTTAATGACGATTCGATCGCAGCCGATGCCCATAAACGGCGTAAGAATAGCATCGGCGCCTTGAGCAATGAGGAAGAGAAGTCCAGTGTCCGTGGTGGAAAGTCCGACAACTTTGTTGAAGTATACGATAAAGTAAGTGAACCAAACAGCGGAGCACAAGTCGTTGAAGAGATGGCCCGTGGAGTATGAGATTCTTTGGCGCAGTGGAGTGCGATCCTTGAGCTTCGAAGCATTTTCTGGCTTTTGTAAGCAGGTAAATAATCGAGGAACGCCCATTTCAGTCTGTATCTTATGTTGTTATGCTTTCAACTATGAGTGATATCTGCTAATGCACTGCTCAGACAGCGTACGACCTTCTTTCAAGTGTTTCTGTCACCTTCTGTCGTTCTGCGCCAATTGGCTTCACGTGCCCAAATACCAACAAAAACAATAACAAAAAAAAAACATCGGTCAAAAGGTTCTGCGTGAAAATGTAGCGATGCGCTTTTCAGTAGATTACCTGTTGAGAAAGTTTTCTTGACGTTGAGCAATAATGTTTGTTTTGCAATTGACTATTTGTAACACGCCTCGACAGTATTGCTTGTAAAGATAAGGAGATAGAGGAAAAAATATATTTTTATTCCTCCTCTGTACTTCTCGTTTTGATTGATTTTTATATGCTATGAAGAATTTCCTGCGGATACATGGGTTTGGATTGAATTGCCCACCATCCTGCGTGACTCTGCAATTTTCGTTTTTTGTTTTTTTCATTAACTCTGTAGAAATTATACAGTTTTAGAGAGGACCAATATAGAAAGTATAAGTTAATTATTTCGAACGGGTTTTAGCCATTTGTTCTTTTTGAAAGCCGTTTCCCTCTCAAACTTAACCTTCCGCCCCTCCTCTGCTCCCTGAAAACGCGCCTCGTGCACGTGCGAGGTGATCGTTATTCAGCAGATGAAGATCATTGCGTAAGGATGACAAATCAATCTGCCCATCATTCCCTTGTCGAGTCAAAGGTGTCATTCTCTTCACCATCGTATCAAATTCTATCAGACGTGCAGCGGAAACGGGGCCCCAGTGAAAGGATAAGGTTACGCGTCAAAAAGCTTCATTGATCACAAAATGATTTTAACTTTCTCTTTTAAAAGAAGTATATATAACTTTCTAAAAGCTACAATCAAATTTGTTCTGCAAAGACGATCAAAGCGATTGTTTACGAGACTTTTACGTTGCGTATGGATGTTACGTAATCACATCGCTCTGGTAAGAACACTGACCCGAACTGAATGAACGATGTCAACACGATTAAAGATAGATGATATTAAGAGATTGAGATTGGAAAAATTTGCGACTTGAGAAACGCCAAAGCCCTTGATTTATAATCTTAGGAAATTCCTTTTCCCCTCTTCTTCCTCTGATTACATCACAGGAAGGTGATTCCAGGGGTTCGAATGATCTTACATTATTTTTTGAGCGGGGGCGGGGGCCGGGAGCAGGGAGGGAGAGAGCCCCGGTAACGAGGCGGTAATCAACCCGGGAGGACAAAGACGACAAACTTTTTCTTAGCCGAGTTGTAAACTATTTAATTTATGACGGCCAATTTACATCAGTTGATAAAACAAAATTAACTTTTATCTCTCTCGGACTTGAGAGATCAAAGGTTTAAAAAAACGTGGTATTTATGGATCATTACTTTTGATCTCTGATTCAAGCCGAGATCGATCACTAGAAATTAAACATACAGCATATCCATATCGTATCCATTACTGACGTGAACCCTCAGCGCTACTGCTTATGATAACATCAGAAACTGGCAAGCACTGACAAGCGCTGTGGACGCTCCAGCCAGTGTTACTTGCAAGAGGAGCACGTGCTGGAACTTGATACAGAGCCAGGTTTGCTGAGTCAAGGCGTTCTCGTCATCTAAACAGCCACAGGAGAATGACTCAGGAAAGGATTGGCACGTTCCGGTTAAGGGGTCTTTTGTCTTGAATATGAGGAACTATAGGAAAAGCTATCCATAAAGGTCAATTATTTTCTCTACCGTAAGAGTAGTTAAGACTGAAAGATTAATGGGGAGAAACTACTGCACTGACCCATTGGTTGTCATGACTACAGTGAAATCGAAAAAACACTCTCCCACAAAAATAGATTTATTCTACCAAAAATACTCTTCATACGAGTTTTTCTTAACCTTCTCGAGTTCCAAAAGAACGTACATTTTTCTAACTTCAACAACGATAAACAAATTCATATATGGCCAAGCTTAACGTCCCACAACAATGGGTCTGCAAAATAGATTTATGAAAATACTTTTCAACGTTCTAACTTTCTTGATTCCCTGTGAATGTGCAATTTTCGAACGTGTTCTACGAAAAACGTTTTTAATCGTCAACTACATAAATATATTCTCGGGATTAACTCGCAACGAAAACGCAAGAGTGTGTTGAAAGTGATCAAGGCTGTTTTAGAGTGAAGAAATTTAGATAAATTGCCATTGACCAGCTTGAAAAATGTAGGCCTCAGATTTCAAGATGATTCAACAATGTCGTAACTCACATAGCGCTTCGAAAATGAAACGCGGGAAACAGTTTCCAACACATATGCTGTCATCTTGTCATGGTTTCATCGTTGTTCAGCCAATCAAAGTAAAGAGAAATACAGAGTATTGAAGGAAGACTCAAACGAATAAATTACATGCATAGGTGCCGCATATTTTATCAAGTCAACAAAAACGAAAAAAAGCACAATACCAACAAGCAAATGAAAATCAACCCATTAACTCCCAATATCTCATTAGTAATTCTCTTTACTGTCTGACATTCAATTCTTATGGTGTTATGTTGGAGAATTTGGTTTTGGATCAACTAATAATCTCCTAATTGATATTTTGCTTTATCCTCATCACTTCTATGCTTGACAATTTCGAACAGTGTAAGATGATGCAATCAACGTGCCATAGTGCGTAAGGCAGCAAATACATCGCTAATAGATAACAGTGTATCCATAGAGATCCTGGTACAGTCTTAGGAGCTCATTCTCCAATTTTGCTAGATGAATCTTGTTCTCTATTTTACCAATCTTTTGTTCTGTCTCGAGCTGAAACAGAAAAAAAAAATAATAATAATGTATAATTATGTAGTATCTCGCCTGTCTTAAACCGCCACGCTGAAAAGTTTCGTGACTCACGTGGGTTGAAGATACAGCGGTGTTGCGTGACAATCTATATAACTCTAAAAAATCTCTCCAAGGAGACGGAAGCAAACACAAGGGTCAGACGACTTCCGGTTGTTCACCTTAGCAAATTGGTACAGTTCATTAACTCGTTAAACCCTAAGGGTGACCAGCACCTTACTTCTTCCTACTGTAATATTGCTGAATCATTGATTAAGATCACGAAAATAAAGGAAATGATCACCAACCTAGGGGGCTTTGATTGTTAAACGAATTCTCATAGTCAGAACCAAAGTAAATGTAAAGAGGAAAGAATTGAGAACTTGAATACTGATGTTAGGATTTAAAAGGTTAAAAGACCACACATATCATTTTCAGCAAATTCAGATGTCTGAGACTACATGGTCTGAGTTTTTGAACAAAGTGTAGCCGTGTAGCCAAAACAACCATCAATTTAGCTGAACCTTTGATCTGAACATTTAATTTTTGTGAACAGCGTCAAGAGGGCATAAAGCTAACAGTGGAAGGACATTAAATCAATAAAATCAACCGTTTTAAGCCTCTGAGGCCCATTGATTGTGTAAAACCGTGGTTCGGGTTAGACCTCGTGTAAATAACCGACCAATAACTTCGTTCTACCAACCTGTTTCTTTAGTTGTTGATCAAAGGCAGCTTCTAACTTTTCTCTTTCAAACAAAAGTTCTTGCTCTTGATTTCTGTGAAGCAGTAACAAGTAAACCAGAGAAAACACCCTTCACAAGGTAAAGTCAACTTTATCAATAGCCCTAAGAGTGACTAGCATCTAATTTCTCCTTACAAATCACGCATAAAGATCACGAGAATAAAGAAAATGATCACCCACTAACGAAGCTATGGATTGTAAAACAAATTCTCCTTGTCAGCATCTTAGAAAATGTAAGGTGAGCAGTATGGAGAATGTGCCAACTGATGTTAGGGTGTAAAGGGTTAAGAAGACTCAAGTATAAATAAACAGATGTGATTCTTGATATATTGTACCTTAAGACAAATATTTCCTTTTCCTTTTGTAAAAAGAGCTCTTTAACACTAATTTCTTCTTTGAGCTGACTTTCTTCTTCCCTAAAAGTTCACACAAAAATTGCATTCATAAAGTTGTAGTGTTAAGACGTTAAGCGCTGTTTTGCTTGGGTCTAAGGGAGACAAAAGTTCATTCCGGAGAGAATCAGGGGCCAATGAAGGAGGAACCGTTGCACTATTAGGGGACAGAGGTTTTAAAGAAGCTGGGTAATTGTTCTTCTTAACTTCAAGAGGATGGTCGCGTGGAGGATATTGAATAGGAGGCGTTTTTGTCGGCACTGACATGCCTAAAGCGCGGGAAAACGCCGGTGATCATGTCGTGATTAGTTTGAGTTTTGTGTCTGATTGGTTGAGAGTGGCGTGCGTTTTCTAGACCAATCACAGAGCGAAGTAAAGCAAAACCGATGCAATTCGGGTTGCTTTCGAAACTCAATTGAAAATTTCTCTAATTAAAAAACAACAACGACCAAAAATCCAATGAACAGAGATTCGTCCAGAGCGCTAAACAAAAATGCTCTAACTTCCTAGTGAGGATTCGAGCTCCAGTGTGTTGCGAATTTTCGGTTTAACGATGAGACCACAGCGAACAACAAGAGAAAACAGATTGACAATCTTTCCAATTTTTTTTTTGGGATACCTGTTACCCGCCATTCCTCTGGATTTCGTCCAGTCTATGTTCCGACGCATTGTTTCATTCTCACGGACGATCCTTTTCAACTCATTCTAAAACAAAGAAAACTTTTGGATAAGGTGAAGGCTACAAAGATTAGAAACGCTGAAACACAACACAAACAAATAAGACTCCTGTAACACTCTTTTAATACCTCCATTTATAAGCAGGTGAATTTTGTCACGGACATTATTCCAACTATGATTTAAGAATACTCAGTTGTGTTTTGTCGAGAAAGAAAAATTTCCAAAAAAGAAGAGTACTTTTATTTCTTACGCGAAAATTTAAAGTGGGAAGTTTAAAGTTTACCTGTAAGACTTAAAGTAACTAAAGCCTTCAACCCAACCAGAGGAGATTACAACCGACTAGAAAAGCTCTCCATTTTCAAACAAAATCTCTAAGTCAGCACCAAAAGAAACGGATAAAAACGATGTCGAGAATAAGTATACTACTGTCAGAGGCGAAAACGGTTAGGTGTAATCGTCACTTCCCAGCCAACGACCTATTTGTCCCTCGCTTTCAGTTTGTTAACACACTGACAAATGGAAACATCTCTCAAAAACTCACCTTTTGGTCTTTGAGACGCAGTTCACTCTGTGTCATTTTACTTGGAGATAAGCTCTTCACATCAGAGTTTTGCATCTCGTTTTCCAAACTTTCTAAGGTGCCGCTTGAAGATGTAACTCGCTTCACATCCTTAGCATTGAATCTTCCTTGATCGTCAGCCTCCTGACGGACGTGTGTAAAGCGTCGAAACTCAGTCCCTTCTCTCGACTCTTTTGCCAAACCATCAAAGCAGCTTCCGTCCGGAGGAGAATTACTGCTTCCTGGACTTTGAGTCAAAGATGTTTCCTCGTCAATTTTGTTACGGCTACAATACGGTGTGCTCTTGAAAAGCGGCAAAGGGTCGATGTTTGCTGATTCAAGTTTGGTTTTCTGATTCTGAAATAAAGTGGGAGTATAATCTTCAGGTGTGTCTGAAGTGTTCCTCACGGAAGAGGTTTCCTGCAAGATCGTCGTTGAAGGTAACTCACTATTCTCAATTTCGCCACGAGTTCTAATATTTCCAAGATTTGCATTGGGAAATCTTGGTGCAAATGATCGTCCCCTCCCTGCTGCACCCCTGTTGGATCGCCCCAGAGAAGTTCGGAGCTCCTGTAAGGGCAACGATATTGGACTATTTGGTTGAATTACACGCATTCCTGCGTAAAATGGTGGTCCAAACGGCAGCCTCGACGCCAGAAGCTGCTGTTGAAGAAAAGCATCAGCATTCCATCCTGGAAACATCAAATTACCCGACTGGTGCCTCGGAAAGTCAGGGTGTTGGAATCTGGAAGCCATGCTTACCGGCATTGGTTGAATACGCTGGGGTGGCCCATGGGGCTCATGAGGCCCATGGGAAGGGTTGGAGAATAATTGTTGTTTCATGAGGGGTCTTACCGTGCTTGAGTTTGAAGAAGAAACAGGCTCTGGTGTGCATGAAGCAGTAGCGCCTGTAGGAGGATCCGATCCACTACCAGGATCGATTGGCGGTGATACATGCGGTCCCACTATGCTCGAGCCCGCGGGAGACACAAGTTCAGCCGGAAGTAAAGCAGGAACGGATGAAAGAGGAACCGTTGCATTATTAGGGGACAGTGGTTTCAAAGAAGCCGGGTAAGTGTTCTTCTCAACTTTAAGAGGATGTTCTCGTGGAAGACATTGAACAGGAGGCGTTTTTGTCGGCACTGAATCTGATTCTTTACCTATCTGAACATAGGTATCATGAACCTTTATTTGATCATGTCGTGGTGATACACCCTTAAAATCTTGAACTACTTCTCCATTTATGGTAGACACAGCAGCACCCGTTTGATCCTGATGGGGTACTTTAAAAGACACTGGCGACTCTCCTGAAGTCTCTGGCCCTAGTTTGTTGTAATGCCTATCAGATTCAAAAGAGCAGAGTTCCATGCCATTTAAAGAAGACGCACATGAGGGGCAAGGAGATGGTGTGCTTCCCACGTGGCTCGAATTTAATACATTGCTTGTGATCTCTTCATGGCAGTTATTGCAATCTTGCCTGAGGGGTTTCTCTAGCGACAGTGAGCCGAAACTGAAAGAGCCGCTGGTTTCTATTTCACTGAGTGAGGTATCACCTCGTCTTGGCGAAGGAGTCACATCTGGGCAGCTTGGAGATGTATAGATTGTCGGAGAAGGAGTAAAATCTTGGCTTATCGGGGAAGTGTACCTCCCTGGAGATGATGTTTCATCAGAGCTGCTTGGGGAGAAGTACCTTCCCTGAGAGACTCTCATACCAGGGCTGCCTACTGAATCATAGCGTTTGAGTGGAGAGAACGTTAGTGTAGAGTTTCTTGAATGCAGTGCGTCAGCTTCACAAGGTCTTCCTGAGATAAGTTGGTTATCCGTGTGTTGAAAAACTTCCTGATGATTTGTCAACTCCATGCTTTGTAAACATTCTGTATTCGTCCCGTTAGTCACGTTGTGCTCGTAAATCCTACGGCTTTGTAAACCCTCCTCGGTAAAGTGTGTTGCGACTGACTGTTGGTTGGACATATGATGTTCACCGCCGCTGAATTAAGAGAAAACAAGCACAGATAAATAGATAGATAACTTAATTAATAGACGATAAAATCCTTCAGTTAATATATTATAATATATTAATACAGTATTACAAGAATAAAACCTATTATATCACTAAAGCTGCATTTCTGGGATGCCATGTCTCATTCAAAGCTATAATGACGCACTTTAATTTTAAATTCGCATAAAGGAACTGTTGCTCGAAGTTCATGGAAAGGCTGTTCGAGAACATAGCACCCCTGCAGGAAAAGGTTTTCTTCAAATAGTTGGTGCGGGGTTGTGGAACAACCAATAATTTATTATCAGCATCGTCAGTCGGTGTGAAGTAATATCATTTCGGAATATAAATGGAGATTGTAGATATTCAGGGATCAATCCATATAAAATACTGAGCATCATAACAGAGGTGGCTATCAGTCTTTGATAACTAAGTTCGCCCGCTGAGTGCCTGGAACAGCTCGTCAATATCGTCCTCATTGCTTGCATACAATATAATACGGGCTGCGCGGTCTTGAAGCTTCTGTATTTTTTCACAAAGGCCAAAACCGCAGTTGCCTCAAACAACGCTGCAATAATCAAAATCTACTTGGACTATGCTGTTAGACGAATCAATTCAAAACAATTAAAGGAACAAGATAGCTCATTCTTTTAATTGCAGCTAAGGCAGAGGCAATCTTTTTACAAACACTCTGTTTATGACAATTTCAATTTAAGTTTTCATCAATATGTACCCTTAACCCTTAAACCCCTAAGAGTGACTGGCTTCTCATTTCTCCCTACATGATCAACTTTGAATCAAATACAAAGGTCAGGAGAATAAAGGAAATAATCACTGATATGAGAAGCCCTTGATTGTTATACAAATTCTCCTTGTCAGTCCCTTAGGAAATGTATTGAGAGCAGTACGAAGAAAATGAATACTGATATGTAATATGTATAGAGTTAATGACAGGACTGCCTAAGATTCAGAAAACACACGAGTTCTTGATAAGCTTAACAAGCCTATGAAGTTTTCAAGATAATTAGATTTTTTAATTCTTCAAGTTAAGAGGTGATAGGGGATCTTGTTATTGGAAAAGCCTAAGTTTCAGTCAAATCTATCTATGGGGGGGGAGGGGGGGGTGTCTGGACATTATTCCAGATTGTCTCCCTAGATCCACCACTGAAGTGGATAACACTGAATATAAAATTTAGCTCACCTATTTATCTCCTCCATAACCCAAGGTGAACAAGGAGTGCCCTCGGATCCACAGGGCGAGGCTAAGGTGTCACCAGGAAGGCTGCTTACTTTCTTTACTATTTCCTGAAGAGCATTTATCAGGGAATCTTCTTTGTCACATTCTGAGGAAGTAGATCAAATTATCTTCTTTGAGAGGATGAAAACATGAATTAGAAATTCTTAATGAATTTTATAATTGATGAAAGTGCTGATTAAGTCACTTCCCAAAGCCTATTATCTGAGTCAGGAGTCTTTAACTTAGAGTCATGTCTTAATGCTTTTTTGTCTTTTTAGAGGTTACTGTGTATAGGATCTTCTCGATCTTGAAAAAAACATCTTTTTGATTGAAATTTGCCAAAGTAAAACACACAAAGTGGGTCAATAATGTCAAAAGTCTTGACCCTAACTGCAGTAAACAAGCATCTCATCCAGAAATAGCCAACATAGTTGCCATTGTCACCTCCTGCAACACAAACTGTGGATATGCACCAACAAGTTTTAGTGCATTTGATCCCTTAGACATAGCCATCTTTACAGTTGGAAAAGGAAAAATACCTTGTGTATCCATCATATTTCCTGTACTTGATGTCTTCTGCCTCCTTGCAGAACAACGCAATTTCCAAAGAACCATTTTCTCCTGAGATTCCCCCTCAGACATAGAGCGATACTGTTCTGGTCTTGGGAAGTCATCTCTCAAAAGCCTGTCCCTCTCTGTGAGGAAAGTAGCAGACCAATCAAGAAATAAGTCAAATAACTTTCCCTTATAATTTGCTAGGCATGAGAAATTGGGTGGCAGGTATGAGCCAATGTGAGATCAGAGTCTTTGAAGGACAGGCATGAGAATCACACCCAAGGCATGAGAGTTTGTAGGTTTTAAGAGTTAGAATCTTAGAACTAGATTGTACACTTTTGCTTAGTGACACCCTTTCAATTTGGTACCTTAAGGCTTGCATTTCTTGAAAATTTTAGGTTAAGTTCCTAATGTTGGTCATTTTCTGTGACAACCTTCTCCTTACAATTGTTACCATTTGCATACTATCCTTTTAAAGTTACTCTTTCATTTTTTTTTTTTGATTGTTTTATTTTTCATCTAGCCAAACTAATGTGCTCTTGTATCCCTCCTGCTGGGTCATATTTAAATCAATGTCAACCTTCTCTTTACAACTGTAACTGTTCTTGTATTATTCCATTTTGGTTTCACCTTTCCAATTGATGTTTTCATATATATATATATATATATATTATATATAAGAAAACAAAAAGCCATATAAATTTTTTTTAAAATTGCAACAGTTTGAAAATGGGTGTATATATACATATATATGTATTTATTTTCCCTTCTTACTGAACTTATCTTCTGATGGTTTTCATTTGATGGTCATTTTAAATTTTTCTTCACTTTCTCTTTTTTGTGTAACAATTTTGATTATTCCTATTTTGTGCATTCTTCCCATTTTATTTCTTTTTTGACACTAGCATTTTGCAATTCTTCTCCTCCAATCCTCCAGTAATTTTGTCTATTCCAAAAATACAACTTAAAAAAATTGGGTACAACATAGCTCCTTTAATACAACTGCATGAGACCTTTTTGTGTAACCAATTTTGAACATTCCTATGTCATTTATTCTTCCCAGTTTATTTCTTTTTCCAACCTAGCATTTTGCAGTTCCTGTCCTCCAATTTCCCATTTATTTTGTCTGTTCCATAAAAACAACCCAAAAATTGGGCACAAAGTAGCTCCTTTATGCAACTGCATGAGAGATTTTCTAAATTTCAAGTGAATCTCCTGCATGGGATGAAAAATTTAAAAGATCACTTACTGCCATGAGGTACATCATCTGAATCATCACATGACATTCTTCCTTTAGTCTCAGATGCGTACTCTACTGTTATGGTGCTGTTGCCAAGGAGACGGCCATGGAGCATTGCAATTGCATCACGGCACTCATCAAGTGTACAATATCTAATGAAGCTGTGGAGAAACAAAGCATAGCTTACAGTTATAAAACTAGGATTAGAGTGATTACTTTTATAATAGGATCACAGTGATTAGCTTAGCTGTTTTGGCTAGCTTACCACCAATTTTGCTTTTGTTAAGCTAATTCTTGTATACCTGCAAAGTTGATGAAGCATTGCATGGCTGGCAATAAAGGAATTTGAGAGTATAAGGTTCACCAGTAACTTTTATAAATTTAATTTTTAAATGACTCTGGAATGAAATGATAATTCAGATAATCTTTTTAAAGTCATGATTGCATTATAGATGCAGAAAAATTTATGAGGGATGAAAAAAGATGGAGAATGTTGAAATTTTTGTCACCAGGCACCACTGACTATTTTTTCCTTCTGAACAATGTTTTTAAAATGTTTTCTCTTGTTTTCTAATTTGGTTAAATAACAGTTTTCGGCAAAAAATGGAGTAAACATAAAAAAAATATAAATTAAAAAGGATTTTCACTGCCGAAAGATTCGTAGTTATCCACTTTCCTTTGCTGTCTGATTGCGTGACGTTGAGTTCCGCCCTCGTTTGCGCGTTACCACGTGAGACGCGTGGTAGCTCAGCATCGAATCACGCGGGTTTACTCGCGATTCACTTTCGTGGACGCCATTTTACTCGCAGTTGTCAAAACACAACGTCATAAACGCTTCCAACCGGTGTGAATACCCGTAACGTCCATCTACCACAACAGAGTTAATTTACTGACCGGTTCTAACAAGTGACAGAGTCCAAAATATGGCCATGGAACCAAATGAATCACTAAATCAAGATCGTTTTTCCGCCATCTTGGAAAACCAACGCGCCATAATGGTGAACCAAGCAACTATTCTTCACAACCAGAACAAAATAATGCGAGGCATGGAGCAGTTGTTTGCATTCTTCCCAGCGCTTCAGAGCTCCCTTCCAATCCAAAACGCCATTCCCAACACAGTAACGGTAGCCCCTCTACCAGCCAATCTGGGCAGCAGTGACAACTCGCGAGTTGAGCAGCCACCAGTTTCATCCGCCACACAACTCCCAAGTGGAGCACCGCCACCTTCCGTTTCACCCTCCCCGCGCGTGGAAAACACAACCCCCATTAACACCCCGACACGGCCTCAAGCGCCGTTAAATTCAAGCACACCATCGATGGTTGCCAACCCTGTAAAACCGCTTCCTTCCAGTGGAGCTTCTTCGCCCGGCTCGGACAACGAACAAGACGTCGCACCTCCTGGGCGCCCTCCTTCGTTTCCGCAACAATACATCTCTACTGATGAGCTTACCCAGATCAAATGCAAAAGTTGCTCAATCGGCAACTTTGCAGTCCAGTTGCTGAGACATATTTTCGAAAATAATGAGTTAGAAAACAGGAATTGTACAGGCACGAGAGGGAAGGAGGCAGTTGATCCCGAACGCCTTCGTTTCGTAAAGGAAACCGTGTTTGATGTGTATGCAATCGCATCTGATGAAAAGGTGAATACTTGGAAGCACTGTGTTCGAGCAATCGACGAATTTCTAAGACGACCAAAGCGGATGGCCAAAGGCGCATTAAATAAGAGTTCTTTGTATTAGAATGAATTTGGTAACATTTCTCTAGCAAATAATTTCTTTATTTACTAAAAATCGCAAATTTAACATCTAATACCGTTTAGCTAATTAGCGAGGAGTGGGGTAGAGTAGCTATACAGAAGGCTTGTAGAGAGACAATACAGAGAGTTACAATATTTTTAAGAGACAGTTATTGTCAACATTCAACATATCAGAGTTTATGTACAATTTGTCTTCTAAAATTGTCCTTACGGCATAAATTTTAGGCTTTGTTCACACTGGACTGGCCTTGATTGGATTTGAAACAATTATTAGAGTGGATGTGGATCTTTATGTTTTACCAATGCATTTTTCTTTTCATGCAGCCAGTGTTTTGTGGGAATATTACTGTCTTTCACTTTCAGTAGTGTATCTAGCATTATTTTCTTGGTTTCCACACAACACCATTTCAGCTTCAGATTGGAACAGTACTTTAGGACAAGTGCAACTATGAGTTTGAGATTTTCTTACAGGAAATAAGTGAGCCAGTATAAACCTGTGTTGCTCATCAATTTGTAAGATATCTATTTAATGAGTATCTCACCAACAACTTTAGGTTAATTCATGAAATCCAAGTTAACTTATCCTAGAATCTAAATATCTCTTATTTGTACTAGAATTGTACCCCAGCAACACTCAGGCTGTACTTGGTATCTGCATAATACTGATTCAATTTCAGATAAAAATCAATTTCAGATTAAAATCAATTCAATTCATGTTTATGTTCAAAAGATTTTGACATAATACAAATGTTTACAATAATTTTAATTTTAAGATGGCAAGGTGCGTTAGACACAGACCTATCTGTTACCATTTTGAAAATGTTCCATTTGGAATATACCTTACACCACAACAGTGTGGTAAAGCAATTTGTATAATCCCACTTTGAATTACTTGTCATTATTCAATTAATTCAAGTATTGCATAGTATTAGGAAACATACTTTAGTTGTGTTGACTTTTTATTACCAGCAAAAGAAACTACAAAGGGTGCAACCATTGCGGTACAAATATCCAGAGCCAAGATTGTCATTGGAAAATGTGATACAGTACACGAATGAACTTATTAGGCAGCTGAATTGAATTATGCTTGCATAGCAAACATGGTTTGTCTCAAAGCAACATGTCCCTCTGGGGTTTTTGGGGGCAAGCTCCCAAAGAAACATTTGAAATTCTAAACCCTGTGAGACATGATTTCCAGCATTGTGAGACATTGTTTTTCTAGATAGGAAATGTTTTTCACACTTGAATTGAACAGTTATGATAGTTATAAATATCATTTTTGTAATCTGTGTGACCCTCCGTGGGTAACTGGAGGTAAAAAAAAGGTTGCCCTTGGTGAACATTGGTGTTTCCACCTTCCAAGAACTTTATTTTCTGTTAGCTTGTTTTTAATCAAAGAAATTTGGAGAAGTTTAGGGAAGTAAGTCTTTTCCTGGCTTTTCTGAAGTCCTTATTTGTTTTAATCCTGTGTGTTAAATGATTTTTTTCCTTAAATAAAAGCAGCGACAATTTATAATGTATTTATTGAGAGAATTATTTTAATTTCATGGAGTCAAAGAAACTGAAAAACTGAAACATAAACCTGCAGCAAAATCAAGAACAACTTAATTTTTGTCTCCTTTCTTTCAATGGCATAGTGAATACAAAGGAATGTGAGAAGAAGAACTTCTATGTAAAGGAAAAGTGGAATTTGTTAGTAATGCTATTCAGACAGAGGCAATGATAGCCAGGTTTTGTTTTGGTTTTTATTTCTTTTTCAAAGGGGGTTGGAAGGGGGTGATCCAGGATGAATGAGCCTGGTATTCCCTGCACTGAGATTTGATCAATTTTGGGTGATGTTGTCAGTGCATGGTGATTTCTCAGAACTAATCAGTTGGAGAGAGATTAAGAATACTTCAATCAAACTGAAGACAAGAAGCGATTGTCTATCAAAGAAGCATACACACCCATAAGTGTAATTTCCTCCTCTTGATGGCTGTAAATGAACATCTTGTACATTTCCAACTTCACCAAACAGCTGTACTAGCTCTTTCTATGGAAGAAAGGAAATGTTAAAGTACCACCTGTAGGGTGTGGGGGTGGTAATTGGTCAAATCTGAGACTCCCAAGATGCAGGAACCTCATAGGATTGTGTGCCCAACCAGACAGGACATGATACACAGACTAATATTGTTCACAACCATAACTCAATGTTACCCTTGGCTACCCTTGCTACAGACCCAAATCTATAACAAAACATGCCAAACAAACAGACTTTAAAAAAAATGCTAGACTTCAAGATTAATTATAACTTAAGGCTGTAATGATATTGCAATCGGTCAAAACTTTCTGAGGCCTGTAATTTTCCAAGGTACTATTTGGCACTTATAACACCAACCCTCAGACTGTTAAATGTTGATGTTTAAAACAATAAATTTTAACCCTTTACCTTTGTAATGTCACAAGGTAGATATCCAGTGTAAATAGAATAAAGCTCTTTGCGCCATTTGCTAAGTTCACGAGGTGACATGTGCTTTGTAGTGGCAGTCCATGTAGAGTCTATGCCATCATCTAAATGAATGAATGTAAAAAAAAAAATGGAAATTGCAACAGCAGAAAGTAAATGTAATTTTCAAAACCTTTCAAGGCATAAGGATGGATCAAAAATGACCACAATAATGCCATGGTAGTTTCTGAGATTTTTTGGTATATTAAACTCTAATTAAAATCACTACCTGACCCTTCTTTGTACCCCTTCAGTGCAGATTACAGTTACACATTACATTTACATGTACCTTCAAATGGTTTGAAAAACAATGATATTTTTTCCTTTAGTTGATCATTTTAAACAAAAATTATAATAGATAATCTTGGCTGAACATTTTTCATAGTGTTTTAGAAATGAACATGTTTTATTCATTTCAAAAGCTCAAATTTTGGGATTGCAAGATGAAAATCTAATTCTTGGAAATTTGCTGAGTTTTCTAGCCTTTCCCTGGCTCAGAACAAAGCATGCAGTCACTACAGATTTAATCAGTCCATGTCAGTTAATCATGGGTGGCTAAAAGTTAGTGTGCTGGACTCCATGTTGAGAGTCCAAGTTCAAGGCCTGGCCAGGTCACCGAGTTGTGTTCTTGGGCTAAAAAAATTGACTTTCATGGTGCCTCTCTTTACCCAGGAGTATAAACTGGTACTAGTGACTTTTCAGAAGGGGGTAGAAGGGTTATTGCATGACACTGGATTGGGTGTTAAAAATTTTTGTGACCAGTGAAAATACAAAATTAAAACCTGTGAGCTGTGAATGTTTTGCTTTTCATGAGTCCTGAACCTTAAAGTTATTCATTCGATTTTTCATGATGCATTATGTCTCCTTTTTGATGCATGTGAAATGAGAGCAGGACCCTACCTTTACTCATCCTTGTCAAGGAAGCCTGATGAAATGCTAGGGAGGGGAGGGGGGTTGTAACAATGTGCTGGATTGGCATTCCATCTGGTGGGAGTAGTAATACACCAAGTTACTTCATGCTAAGGAAACCAGAAAAAGCGCTGCCTAAACAGGCCTCTGGGCTCAAGCACAAGCTTTTGTGCTCACTGATCATCAACATATTGATTAAAAAATTGATCATCCTCACCACTGTCAGACAACTGCCACTGATATCTGGGTCTTGGAGACCGGTTAAGTTGGTTTTCAAGTTCCGGGTGGGACAGTGATGAGCTTCTCTGTAATTGTGCATCTTGCTCATTTGCACATCTTGCAGTCTACAGATTTTGTGAATAGAATACAAATCAGAGGTGACATTTTTTTTACTTCAAATAAAACATGATCATGTAGCCTGATTGTCCAAGCGAGAGTAGTCCTGAGAAGGGTTCTTGTCTGCAGAATTGACTGACAACAACTAGAGAATAAAAGCTAAGTTTTTCATTTGTCTCACAATGTAGTCATGTGTGATGCCCACAACACCAGACACAAGCCACTCTGGAGCGATGTAAAGTTTATTGATTGTGACCCTTATTACTACATGTGCAGGGTCAAAGAGGCAATTCATATAAGACTTCACCCTAACAACATCAACAAGGATAGTGGAATAGAAATTCCAGAAGCATGGATGCCCATGATCAAAAAACACAACAACAGGAGAGCTGTGCGACAGCAGACCACCAAGGGAGCAAATCACTGCGTGAAACAGCAAGGATCGTAAAGACACCAATCAGAGCTGTTGGAAAAAAAAAAACAACTAATCACAGCAGAGCATCATGCTTTATAAGATCATGCATGACCAGTCAACCTCATCGCCTGAAGAAGACTAGTGGTGTGCAGTTGAAACGTTGCAATCTACATCACACGTGACTACATTGTGAGACAAACGAAAAACTTAGCTTTTATTGTTATTCACCACAATGAATAACCATAGCCTCATAGCCTTTTTTAGGAGCAACTAGAGAATTACATAACAATAACAAATAAAAATTAAAGAGTTAACTCTGATTCCCCTGATCTGATTAGAAGTTCTCTTATCTAGCTGTTATACATTTTTGTTCAATAAAATTAAGAGAATTTGGTCTTTCATGAAGAAATCACCTTAAGCTGATAAGTATAGTTATTCTCATCTCACAACTGCTAAATAATGCACTGAAATTCCATTTGAGAAGTTACATATAAATTTCTTAGCAGGTTCAACGGGGGTTAGCCAACTCACCCCATAGAGTGACCAACATCTAATTTCTCTTTATAATATAAAAGCTGAATCAAACATCAAGGTTATGAGAATACAGGAAATGACCACCCACGCAGAAACTTCTTGATTGTTAATCATATTCTCCTTGTCGGTATCATAGGAAATGTACGAAGACCATTATAGAGAATATACATACTGACGCTATTAGGAGTATACCCTTGTAAAAGTTCTAAGGCAAAGCTTTCCTGAAGCTTAAGCTTTTGGTGTTTCTTATCGTTATGTACAATCATAAAAATAAACTTACAATTTCATTTTTGTCCTGCAGTGTCTTCGTCTTTGATTTCGTTACCAAATCTAAAATGTCTGGATTCCCTTTCAATAGCCCCATTAAAGCTTCTTGCAGTTGCCGTTTGCTTTTATTAGTAGCGCCCTCAATTATGTCGTCAAGAGTTGGCATTTTAGCTGCAGTAACTTCGTAAAATGATTTTCAGTGTCAACGATGCATAATCTAAACTTGAGAAGAAAAGCGAATGATCAAGGCCAATGATCAAGGCGATTCAAGCTACAACCATTGGGAAAATATTTAATAAAACAAATATCTCAACGAGATTCGATGTCGGGCTGCTTAAATTGACATTTCTTTAGTTGTATAGTTCTATCCACCACCCGTTTTGTTCTTTTTATAGTGGTTAATTAGGGTTATTTTTAAATGTCAAAACAGTTTTTCAAGACAGCACTTCTCTTTGTAATGGAATGCCTTTAAAGTGTAGTTGATGATCGCGTCACATGGCGAACGGTCTTGCAAACTTGTTAGACCTCATTGCGAACCGCTGGTTTAACAAGATTTAATTATCAATATCAACGTCCTACCAATAATTCAGCTACTTTAATGCACCTGTTGTTTGAGGAGCTTTGAAACTGGTGAATGAAAATCCCTTTCACGTGTAGTATATTTAAATGACCTTAGTGCCGCTATTACACAAAGTGATCTCTACACCACATGTCACTCTAGGAAGTGACGTCACGTATTAGTCAAACGCGGCGGCAAATTTTCAGGATCTTCACATTTCAGGACTGAGCGGAAAAATTTTTACATCAGAGCTGCCTCAAAGGTTAGCTTTAAAAATATTTCTGGATTTTTAAGAGATTAATGTTTTTGAAGGACTGTAACCAAATTGTAGAGGTTCTTGAGCTATTCAGCTATGTATTTCACGCGTTTCTCGATGCAAGTCGGCGCGCTCTGCCCGACTTGTGTGAATCGCTGGGTGAACTATGTTTAATTTTGTCTTTTGAGAATTAATTCTAGACATCGTTTCTCTACAATGTTTTTTTGGATTCATTTAAATGTTAAATGATTCATTACTGGCAAGTTTGGAGGCGAAAACCACTGATCGTTAATGGCAGTCTACTGGCGTGACAGCTTCTGGCGTGACTCTTAGGTCAGTAACGCAACTGAAAACAACCACAACGGGCTGAAGCGAGGTTTTTTTCAAATATTTGTTTCAGCTGTGTAAGAATTCATCCAATTTTATCGACCCAGTTCCTTTACACGATTTCTTTTCTCTTTATTTTCTCTGGAAAAATGTAAAGTTTCCTTTTTCAGCTGGACGTTCTTACTGGGGTTGAGGACTGTTCTTAGGAAGAGAAGCGAAATAAGCCAAAATATGGGAATGAAGTAGAAATGAGGAAAGGGAGGAAAGAAGGAGAAAATGGGAACTTATATCAGGGAACAAAGAGAACAAAAAGAAATGGCCGTGTAATCTGAGCCTGATTTCAGAGGAGGAAGAAAAAAAATAATTCAATAACAACTCAGAGATAGATAATAATAAAATAAATAATATTTTAGGAGGAGGCCTCTAATCACCAGAAAGTGGTTTTCACGAGGGTCCTCATAAAAATTGAATTTTTTTTTTAATTTAAAAAAGGTGAGATATTCAATGTTTTGTTTTTCCTCTCTTTTCTTAGTTCTATTTTTTTCAATCCTAACAGTGCAGTTTGTTTTCCTTAGGTTGTCGACAATATTCAGGGTCTTCCAGGGACATGAATAGTCAGATCGTTCAATGAAGATTTGTTAAGCGGAAAAACTTGCTTGTCTTAGTGATGCTTTTTGAGTTTTTTTTTTCATTCTTAACGCTCAACTAATGTTTTCAGCAAAATAAACATTTGATGAACAACATTTTATTTGTGCAGACTTTGTGGCAAGGAGGCCTCATTCGGATAGCATAAACTTTACTTTTCTGTCTCTAAAAGTCGAGATTTTAGGGTGTTCAAAGTTCATGTTTCAGAGGTGGTCCTTTTTTTTTTTCCTCAAGCTAAAAGTTAATTTTCGCACGAGTTTTTAGAAATCAGATAATCGCATTCTTTATAAGACATTAGATTTCCGCGAAAATCTGAAGTCCAAAGAGTTCACTTCCCTGCGACATACAGAAATTGACAATTAACTGCAATAAAATTTCAGTGTGTGCTATATCGTGGTGTCAAAATAAAAGTGTACCTAGTCAATAAATTAATTAGTTGGTTGAAGTTTCATTTCCATGTAGGGTACTGTTTGTTTTCTTACTTGACAGTTGCAAAATTAAATATTTTTTTCTGCGAATAGTTCGTGAAAAAGGTTTCCAAATAGCACCAATACATTAAACCCAATTAAAAAACTTACTAAAATCTGCCACAAAAGCTTGTTCATGCTGAGTTTTCCTTCCAGTGGAAGCCCTAAAGGATTCGTTTGTTGCTTTTGCATTAGAATATGCAATAAATTGGTCACCGTCGTCAATTGGTTGGCAAACAATAGAATTGTCCTTCAATGATTTCGTGGAACAGGTGCACCGGTTGAGAGTTGTCTGAATATTTAAAAAATACACAACACGCTTGTATTCCTGGGTTTTGCCCAAGCAATTGCTAGGGTAATACACCGAACTACAAGTTGGCCGTTTGACGGAATTTTGAAAGGTCCGTTCCGTGTTCGACAGGAAGAAAAATTATCGATTTGAAGAATCGAACCCAACGGAAATAACAGATTGAGCGGTGAAGGAAGAATAGAAACTAATTTCTCTGCTCGAAGCGGGTTTTTTGAGAAATTCTTTGAGTAATCTTCTACATTACAAGTCTTCAAGGATTCTAAACAAAGCTCAAGTGTGGTGACTGCGTGAATGATGGAGTTTTTGCAGAAGTTGAAGATATCAGGCGGGGTGAATTTGAGCAACCTACGCCCTTCTCGTACGGATAGCCAAGAGCGGACGACAAATTTTACTTCGCCTTCGAGTCCGAAGCATGATTCAAAAGAAGAAGTTTCGCCTTTGCCACCGAGGGGCTCGCCTGCCGCGAAAAAGATGAAAATTCTTCTTGTTATCGATTCTCCCGATACTGATTGGTAAGCGACAACTCAGTATTATGTATAGCTGTTTTAAGATTCCTTGAAATTAATCGCTGAATAATCTGTGTTTCGTTATGAACAGAATTAGAAATCGAAGATCAAAGATTAAAATTTTTAGTTGATCTCAATTTAAATCACCCCAAAACGGATTTCTATGCTGTTCAATGGTTCTCACTGTCTGAGTATTTCGAACAAGGAGACATTTTATTTAACACTGCAAATCCAAGGTTGTGTACGACTCAGCTTCATGATTGTGTACGGAATTTGATAAAGATAACCTAGAATTATTATCAGAAAAAATGTAGCATTCCGGGTGTGAAAAATTTTCCAAGAAACTACAGGATAATGTAATGCACGACTGGAACAATATAAAGAACCCACTAATTTATATCACGCAGAAAAAATGAAATGCACTGTAAGAATTTATTTACTCTGTGTTCGGTATTGGTTTTTTGCCTACACTAATAGTTTTGTTGTCGTTTTATAGGGCAAAGATATTTAAGGGTCGACAACTACATGGAGGAGTTTATGACGTTCGAGTTGAACAGGTTTGATAAAATCCATATTACCTTTTCAACACTGAAGTTGTAAAGTACTCAAATGATACGCGAGCGACCACACGCGGAGAACCTAAATTTCTCCAGACACAGCGAAACTGTCGTGTTTACGTTTTATATTTAATGTCGGCGCCCTCGATGCCTTTTCCATCTCAATATATTAGGTGTTCTTGAGGTTTAAATTCACAGCGATTGTTTTGAACCCAACGGATTGTTAATTGACAATATTTTCGTGTCAGGGTTTAGCAAATCGAACTGACATCGCCACTCGCATAGCGGTTGTGGTTTTCGTTTATTTTTGAACCAAAATAATCAACGAAGATGTCATTTGCAACACTGAGTCAGAAGAAGGAATTAGAAAACATTACGCTGGTTGTCTTGGAGCTTTTAATGTGATTACTTTTGACAATCGCACGTGAGGAGATGATAGAAATTAGCATGTTGTTCCCGCTCTTTTTGCATTCTTATCTGCGATGTTAAATGTTCTCGCAACAAGATCTTTTTTGCTTAACCTTTACTTACATCTTTTTTAAAAAAAGTTATCTTGCCTTGAATTAGGGTGTGATTTGGTTTGATCGGAAAACCATTGCGAGGTTAAAAGGAAATTTCTTCCCGTGAAAAATTAATAAGTCGAGCTTTTCGCACCTATTTGCATGTCTAAATTTTACTGATATATCGTCATCTCTGAAGAAATTGTGATTGATTCAGAGAAACTAATGGTCTGTGGTTTTCTAAATCTTTCATTTTGTTTCATTTTATATATTTATTTATTTATTACGCGAGTAGTCAAACAAGTGAAAATTCTCTGCGATAAAAGAGACCGAATAAACAGAATATTTCGATTTGAAGAGAAAATGCAAACGGGAAGATGGCACTGAAAAAGAGGATTTTATTTAGAATAGATATCATCCAATCATAAGGAAGGATACATTTCCATATTTGGTTTCGAGCTGTGAACTCGCGCCTTCTCAATGAGCCCCGCGTCAGCAGGGGAACTGCATGAGTTACTTTTCCCGCCTAAATCTTTTACGGTCAAATTCCCCTACAATCTTTTTGCTCCTGTTTATCAATTTTGTTGCAAATAAAATTTCGACGATATTTGGCCTGAAAAAAAAGCTGGCTGAATAAACTCTTCGACGATTCAAAAATAAGCGGTGCTATTTTTTGTGATAAGACAAAGTTCTGTAGCGTTTAGAGGTTAACATTTTTAGCTAGAATTTGTAATTTTAGGTTTGCAATTTAAGATTGAAGAAACACCGAGATGAAAGAATAAAAATAAGCAAGGGTCTACTGAGAATGAAATTCTTTAATACTCTTTGTTTTTGTATTTACAGGCGCAATTCGCAGACCTGAATCTGGCTTCTTACTCTGACAGTGGCACAATGGTGGATATCCAAGTGTACCGCGAAGGCACTGTTGTCGTCAGGTAACCACTCGTAGTTTAGAGTCTATTTCGATTGAGGCTTGTAAAACTGACCTCAGATAAAGTAATTACAATGGCAACCGAAGCTAAGTTCACGATAACCAATAAAAACACAAGGTAAAAACAATGAACGAAGCCCGGGAAAACCTGAGTGATTATCACGTAGTCGCAGTTGGTTTTAGTTTAGCACCTGATTGGCTCAGTCCTGCTCCGTCTGTTTCACTTCACACTTTTCACTCTTTTATTTTCATTTTCTTAAATATTTACAAGATATTACTTTGACCCGCAGATTGCAAATGATAATCGAGGCGGGTAAAGTGTCACTTCATCTGTTGAAAATAAGAGACCGGACCAGGTTTAGGAACTTGATTTTCACCAATTTGTTTCCAGGTCATTTCGCCCCGACTTCGTTCTCGTTCGACAAAGTGTGCGAGGTGTTGGACCCAAAGAAGACTATCGCAACATTCTCCTTGGATTACAGTTTGGCAACGTTCCCAGCGTGAACTCGCTCACATCGATTTACAACTTCGCGGAGAAACCATGGGTGGTAAGTTAACATTATAGATTTATTTTCAATGTTCAATTTAATTTAAAAAAAAGGAAGCAGGATTGTGCGCTTTGGGGTTGATTTTGAACGATCGCTTTACCCTCTTAGTTAGAAAGACTTTTTTCTGATAAGTAGTTTAGGTAACCTCGGGTTTTCCTGTAACAAACACGCGTAAAGATTTGTTTTTTTGTTTTCTTTTTAAATGCCTACAATCAAGCTAAACAAATGCTTGCAGCTATTCATTTAAAAGTCTTTCCTCATCATTAAGTCTTTTTTTCTCTACTCTCGTCACCAGTTCGCTCAACTAATTCAGCTTCAGAAGAGACTGGGAAAGGATGAATTCCCATTAGTCGAGCAAGCGTACTATCCAAACTACAAGGAAATGGTGAGTGATACTTCTTAAATTTGTTCATGGTGGGATAAAGTAGTTTTTAGTATCAAATGTTACGGCTTTACAAGAAATTTATCTCGGCGACATGGAGTGGTTTGGTAGTTGTGCATCAAAAGTTCTTCGTTATTTTAATAAGTTAAAACAATAGCATAAACTTTCAAACTGAGTACAGTTTTATTGCAGCGATTGAAATCCCCTCCTAGAAGTGGTTTGTCTTAATACTGTAAAGCAACAATTTCTTGTCGAGTCTGTTCCTATTTGGTTAATAACCGTAACAATAAGCCTGACTTATAGACTATTTACAAAAGCTTAGTTCTAATTTAGATCCAATACATGATCTATTCGTCGCTCTCTGTGTGTTTACAACTTAAAGAACTAAATGATGACCACTTTTTTTTTTTTTAAATGAAATTTTCAAGCACTCATGCATTTTTTTAAATCGGCCTTTTGAGGCGCGATCCATCTACATTTTTTGCGGCCTTTCACGCAGTAAGAATGCTTTGCTCTGCAATTCTTCATGCGATCATCACTTCCTTGTAAGTGGCATCCTTGAATCAAATCTTTGCAGAGCTCTGGTCTTTCTTTGAAGCAGTACTTGTCAATATTACACAGGCAGTATTTTCCATAAATCCTCTTGAGCCCGCGACGTTGTTGAGCAGTGGTGTCGTTCCATAACGAGTGCCACTGGCACGATTCTATCGTCAACTTTTTCTTTCCTTTGTATGGTCTTCGGTGTTGGTTCTCTACGTAGCCGAGCAGGATGTAGATTTTAGAAATCTGAAGGCGTACGCCACAAGCGGCTGAGTCGAGCTCTGTTGTGACTTGGACAACGTTTTTCCTGCGTTTTCCCGTATCACTTTGCATCTCGGCAACGCGTTCAATTTTCTTGCCCCCCTTGAAGGCTTTGAAGACCTTGAGGGTATAAATTCTGCTGCTGTTGTCCCAAGACTCGTTCAAAACCTTAGCGCGAATGGCTGTAAAGTCAGAAATGTTTTACGTTAACAGGGTGGGCGTAACCTTCCTTAGACAATCATTAACAAAACATCTCGTGTTTGTGGGAGTCTATTTAGCGCACTTGAGCTAACCAAGCAAGCAAAGAAGAATCAAGAATTATAAAAAAACGTTGAATTTAGCTAATTTTGTAACATCCCCCACACTGAAGGAAGGAAAGAATTATTAAACCACTACCGAGCCGAATTTCGTGATGCAATGTTTGCCATATCCGATTAAAAGATCTGTGTCCTTGACTACCTTCTCCTCATGGGCATAAAACACCGAACACTCAATTAACATCTCACTCAACGCAGTGTCTATTTTGGTCAAGGATCATTTTTTAATGGCTGGCAATGAGCCGCAGAATGTGAGAGAGATAATTTTTCTGAATTCCGTCACGAATGAATCGTCAGCAGTTTACAAGTTACAGCTTCGATGCGTAAAGGTCGAAAATTAAGGAACCTTGAAGAGCAGCGAAAATGCGCACAACGAGAGAGTCCGCGAGTTTTTGAGTGCGAGAGAGCGTATGGATCGGGATTGATTCTCGTGTCACTGTTGTTAATTATCCGGCGGCCGGGGTATACAAATCTAAAATCTTAACATAAGTGGCATTTCACGGCTCACCCAGGTGCTATTGGCTACATCAAGTATCTTTCATTTTTTGTTTTAAAACAACCCCAATCCTGTATTTCCTCTGTTTTGTTTTGTTTTGTTTTTTTAATTGTGAAGTAACGATGAGCCATTTTAGAGATTGAGTGATTATGTAGTTTCTCATAAGCTTCTTTTTCATTGTAGTGATCACAGGCTTATGCAATTATTTTTAAGGGGGCATCCCGACCACTAGGAATTTCTGCTCTCTCTTCAACAAAATTTCCGATTTCTGTGGCTCGTTGCCATTTTGATAAGGCCTCTGGCACATCGCCTTAACCTCAGATATCACACCATACTTACCTCCGGCTCGTCATTGTTGTTATTGCTGTTGTTTGTGTTTATATTTTGAAAACCTCAATAGGGCCATAGAAATGAATTTGCTCCTGTAAATTTTGTTGTGATCACAGATTTGTGTTTCCGAACCTTCCGGCCATTTTAAAATCGTGGTGATGACGGGAATTCTTACGAGCTTATTGGTAATTCAGCGGATCTTTGCATTGGGCTTACGCAAATACATTTAAGGGGGCAACCGACGATTTGAATTGCCGCTCTGTCGTGAACCATGTTTCGAGCTCTGTGGCTCATTGTCACTTAAATAAGGTCTTTGGCAAAACGCCTTAACCTCTGTTCTGTTATCACATCGTTCCTCTTAACCTTTCCGTTGCGACAGCGACAGAACTGGACGAATTATCTTACAAACGGTATTAGCGAGGTGAAGATCAAGATGCAACAATCCTGTTCTAGAATAACAAAACAGTATTAAGTTTTCTCCAGTCTTGGAAAATAACCTGTTGTTAGTGTCGTCAATGTGTTTTTTTTTATGAATTCTGTGGACAAAATATTTGTATATTTGCCAAGTTACAAGATCTCATTTCCCTCCGTGCCTCCAGTTAGAAGAAAAAAGAACTTTTATAAAGAGATAGAAGATTAAATTGAAAGACGGAGTAAAACGGATAATCTTTTAAAAAGTTGTACTGTTATCATTTCTAGACAAAGGTAATTTCACCGAATATTTCAATCATCCAACAGTATAGGAATAGGTCTTTTTTTTCATTTCCACACCTCGCACCAATGAGAGCAAAGCTCGTATTGGGTTGATTGCGCTTGTATATTAAAAGTCTCTGCCGTCCACATTAGTAAAACAAACAACACAGGGCATGACTAATGAAATTCAATAAATTTAAAAATGTCAATAAGTACATGTATATAAATCATACTGTCAAGATTTGATCGAACTGTTGGGAGCACTGGTATACCTTTTAAATGTGAAAAGATGAAAATGCGCATGAAAATAATTGTGAATGTAGATGACGGGTTTAAAATGATTACTGAACGTAATGTGGGTAGCTAATAAAAGGATATCACCTGTACTCACCAAAATCTGCGCTGCAAAATCTTGACTGCGGGTGAGCTTGAGTGCACCAGCATGCCTCATTTATGGTCACTACACAAAGGAAGATCGTAAAAAAGAAGAGAAGCACTGCCATTGGAAGCCCTGTTTTTACTTCAGAACACAGCACAGTTGTCACCGTCGTACCTCAACCTGTTTCTGATGTCCTGACCAAAAGATCTGTCTTGTATACTCTAGAAAGGAATCTTGGTAATCTACCAATGAAAAGTTTTCAATTTTCCCAATAAAATTTATTGGATTATTTTAATGAATCCGGCCAAAAGATTAATCTCATTAGTCTATCTTTTAAGTGAAGTCTAACATGAAATATTTGCCTCTAATTATGCCGAGTTCGCCGGCAGACGATGACGTATGTCAGGGACTGAAAGTGAAATAAACGAAAAAACAAACCAAACAAGGAAAGTTCTAAGTTGTTCTCATGAGCTCAGTGACTTGAATGGAACTGTGATTAACTACACAATGATTGCAGTCATTTCTTATGAGAGTTGGCAACTTTAAAATTGCTTAATTTACTACGATTTAGTATATATTACCAGGCAGTTTCTTTCTAGGAAGTGGTTGAGGATCCATATTTCGTTTTAGGTGTGTGTCATAATGTAGCTGTACCTTGCATTTTTGTGGACTGTAAAGACATATACAGAATTTAACATTTTCAGTTATTTCAGTTCTCCGTGTCGGTTACCACGCCTTTTTACCACTGAAAATTCACATTGCTAACGTCAAGTTGCTTCACTTGAAAATCAAATTCAAACTTTAACCATGTAAATGCATGTGGGAACGTGAACTACCTGTTAAAAGCTAAATAAGGAAAAAAGAGGTTATCAATAACTTCTATCAGTGACTTGCAACAGGCATCATTCTGCAACACGCCAGCAGTTTTAATTAAGTGGTTCAAAATGCCGACAAAATACCACACAAATAGTGCCCCGGTAATGATTGAAATGTATCTAACTTCCTCCTCTCTGCAGATAGAAGTGGTTCTGAAGGCCGCAAACTAATGAATCTTTCCGTTCAAGAGAAGTCAGTCCAGTTTTAATAATTTGCGTGATGGGTTCTCTCGTCACTTCAAATTTACACCGGCCTTCCAACAGATTGCATGTTTCCCCTTGTGATGACACCAACATTTACAGAATTAAAAATCGTATAAAAGTTCCTCCTTTTTAACAATTTTGGTGAAATGTATAAGAAAGAGAGAGTTTTAGCAACTTCATCTAGCAAAGAACAAAGAAACCCTTGAAGATTTGCTGTCGTGCCTATCATAGTTTCGATACAGGTGGTCATAGTTAAAAATATTGCATCGTTAATTGAAACTAAATGGGGACAAATTTCCTATGTTACACCAAAATATCGATTTAAAACTCCATTGAAAGGTCGAAAATTACGCCTTCCATGTAGTTTCGCAGTCGGGTGCTCTACCGCCTGAGATGAACTCTTTACCACAATAAGCCATACACAAGGTTCCTAACTGACATGCGTTGCATGATCCGTAATGTCAAAAGTGTTTTAAAGAAATTGAAATTGAAAATAGAAATAATAGATTTGGAGCCAAGCTTGAGCTAAGAATTAACCCTTTACACCCTGATATCAGTGTGCATATTCTCCATACTGTTCTCTATTAATTTCCAAAGGTTTTGACGAGAAGATTTTGTATAACAATCAAGAGCTTCTTGAGTTGGTGATCATTTCCTTTACTCTCGTTACCTCAATGTGTAATTCATGGTTAGTATTGTAAGGAGAAATTACATACTAGTCACTCTCAGGGTCAAAAGGTTAAGTAGGGGAGTGAACAAACAAAGTTGCTTTAAAAACCCACAATAAACGACTAACGTAATCGTTACAAGAAGACGCCGAGTGGGTAGCAAGCTAGTAATCTTGCCACCTTGGGTATGAATGCGTCGTTTTGCGGCGAATCTCTTTGCTTTTTTCTTTATTGTTGTTTTTGCAATCTAACAGTTCTAAACTGATTATTTGAGAATTTCATAAACTGGACCATGGCTTCTTTATTTCGGGCATATTTAAAAATATCGCGTTAGTATTTAAGGGACTTTGAGACAACTTGCTTCTGTTCAACCAAAATATCGGACCATCACCGTGGTTTATTTTGTCTGGGTCAGAAGTGCGCGTTAATAAAAGATTCGATTTAGCTATTACAGTTCATATAGGGCATTCAACTCAGTGTTAATCGCTTCAGTTCTTTCTATTTTGTGCCCAGTTAAGGGGCTAAGCTCAGGTTATAGCTTTAGTCTTACTTAGAAGTACCGACTAATCTTGTAAATAAGGAACGTGGATGGTAGGAAATTACCAAAGTCAAACACATTTACGAATCGTCGTCTCAGTCAATTTTGCCTTAAAAATACTGTAACGCGTAACTTCACACATAACCTTAAATTATCACAAGTGGTACAGACTATAACAAACAAATGATAATTCCTAATTTCCTGGTTCGCGCTTTGCTACATATTTATGTTTCTTCTCCAGCTCCTATAAGCATAACGTTGTCGCTGGGAGCATTGTCTCATTAACTGAAGAGTCATTGTATTTGTTTTGCTTTATTGCGTCCAGTGATTGGTCCAGAAAACTGGCGCTAAGCTCTCAGCCATTTAGATGAAAAACTAAATCTAATCGCGACTTGTAACTCGCGTGTTCTCGCGCCTCAGGCAATGTGCTTCTTTCATGTTTGAGCTCTCGATGGCTCGGGAACGAGGTAATCAGAATTATGTGCCGGTCGTATTATGTGATCTTCCGTGTCAGAGTATATATAGAACAGTATTTAACATAGTTTCGAGAGTATTCCGGAAATGTATTGATTTCGCTTCGGGACGATCTTTTATTGGTCTTGAAAACTCGCGCCACCCTCTCGACCAATTAGATACAAAGATAAAACCAACTGCGACTTTGCCCCTTTTGTTTTCCCGCGCTTAAGGCAGTTTGCGTGTTTCTTCTGTGAATTCTCATTGGTTCCTTGTGATATTTCCTTTGTTCTGATTGGTCATTGTGATCACTGTGGTTTGGCTTAACGACCTTGAGTCAATTGACATTCACATAAAAGCTACAAAAAAATTTGTGAATGACAGTAAATTTTCAACAGTCGGAACAGAATTACTCTTTTTAAAACAAGATATCGTAATCAACATGTGTCACAGCTTGTCTTGAACTAATTTTATTCTTACTTATTCAAAATGTAACTTAGACTCAACGCTACAATATTTTGAAAGACTTAGGACTAATTCAATTATTTAAAATCAGAAAAACCTTTGAACATGAATTTGCGACGTATCATTCACGCGTCGAACTAACTTCTACATTGCACATAAAATGGCAACTGTCATCAAGTATTGATGAAACATGTTAAAAATAAACCTAAATTGGTCTCATAGTTAACAAATACTACGTTCGTTAATATAAAATGGCAGCTGTCATCAAGTATTGATGAAACATGTTAAAAATAAACTGAAATTATCTCATAGTTAACAAATACTACGTTCGTTAGTTCTAGTTGGATGTCCTTCTGAGAAAATTCGCTTTTTTGTCATGAAAACTGGAAGGGAAACATGATTGTCATTTTATCTTTCCCTATTGTCGTCGAAATTGATTGTAAACAAGTATTCATTGTGTTTTTAAGTCTATGACTTTGAAAAGATATTTTCTCTCATTTTTATGGGTGATCAGCGCTCAAATTTCTCTTTAAAATTATACATATATATATTGTTAGAAAACACAAAAAAAATTATCAACACCTAGTTTTTAGGAACAACCAAAAGAGAAAAATACTGTTCTATATTAGAAATACAGCCTGCGGATCAAATGATCTAATTACAGAGGTAGTAATCTTCGCGGAAGACTCGAAATCATCAACCCTTTAACTCCCAGAAGTGATAAACAAGATATTTCTCCTGATAATTACCATACATTATCCAGCAAACAAGTGATGAGAACACTAAGACTTATTAGGTTGAAGTTGTGAAGATGATCTAGAACCAAAATCTCATAACTAATTTCCAAGCAGCTGGAAGGGAGAAGTAACAATCAGATCTTGGGAGATAAAGGTTAGGGCAAATTTTTATGTTCTATGTTTCGTTACACATGCTCTCTGTTCAAAAATGAGTTATTAGTCTCGTGGTCGTTATCGTTTTTAGCACAGAAATTTTGAGTAGTCTAACTAGGGCTGGTGGTTAGCCATGCACTCCTTGTACTTTGGTGTTTCGTACCAAGAGCACGCGGTCCCTTTGGAGTTTTTCACACAATAGGAGTGGTCCCACTCACAAGGGTTCTTGCGAGGAGATAGATGGGTTGAAGCACATCCTTTGAGCTTTCCGCAGTCTCTGCCGTGACACGGTGCAAGCTGACAATCACAGTTTTGCCCATAGAAGCGCCTGATACCAACACGTACAGCCTGGCGCTTGAGGACTTGGGACCAATCTTGTACAAAATTGCATAAGCTCACCCAAAGTTTACCCTTGCGAAACCTTCCGAAGATGACGTACCTTGTGTCGTTCTTAATCCAGTCAAGGCCACAGCTGGCACCATCTTTGGAAGTATAGACCTTGGCAAAAAGACTTCCCTGGTTGGACCCATAAAACCTAACTCCCTCGGTTTTGTTTAGTGCTGTCGCTCCCTTGTAAGTCTTCAGGATTCGCATACCAATTACTCTGTCGTACCCTTCCACTTCTTGAGACAAAACCTTCGCACGTATCACTGAAAAAGAAACAAGAATTAGGTTCATCGTATCTTCCTCTTACCGAATGAACACAATTACTTCCAGCTGAAATAGGAATAATGATTATAAGCAACGATATTAGAAGTATTTCATGTAAAACAGTTTCAGTAAACTATCTTTAAGCACAATTCTAAACACGAAAAACAAATTCATCTAAAGATATGTTTAGTAAGAAAAGTCTTCAGCTGTAATGATTAGTGACTAACATTCCGCTGTATCATAAGGGGGCTGGGTGAAACTGGGTCAGTATATGAGAATGCAACATGTTCAGGAGTCTTTCGATCTGCCTTGGCAAACTAGTAATAAGAATTCGGAAACTTGGGGGAAAAAAATCAAACCACGAAATTCTTTCAACGAAAATGTGCACCAGCCAAAAAGGAGAATCGCTTATGAGATCTTAGTCTTAGTAATACAAATGTCTCCGTTCGTATCAGTGTATTGTTAGGAGCTTGAATAGGTGAACATGACCAGGAACCAGGATTGATAATGTAGTTCAGAAGAACGTGCCTTGCGGCAAATGGAAATGATTCATTTAGCTCTTGTTCTACTAACTGGATGTTTAAAAGTTGAACTATGTGGATAAGTATTTCTCGTAATTTGACCTTAACATGAGAAATTTAGGTCTCGCAAAAAATTTCACCTCAACCTTCGCAATGACCAACACAAAGAGTGATAGCAGAGTACAAACTCTAAAACAATTTCCGTTCTCAGTGGAGGCTATCGAAGCTGAACTTGAAGTATCTTTACGGAAGTTGCAAGCACTAGAGGAAGCCTCACAAAACGCTAGATTAGAAACGTTATCTTGTCCCAAGAACAAACCAATAGTTCAAATTATGCGGGTAATATCAGCGTTTAAAGCGAAAAATGGTGACTGCGTTAAACAGAGTAAAACGAGGAATCGGAGCTATTTCTAAGGTGGGAACATTGCACGCACGTTTTTACAGCCATATCTGACCACATTATCGGTGCTATTGTAAAAACATTAAAGTTCCCTTTGCGCAGCACGCGAGCTACGTGCCCGGTGAAGATAATGGCTGATAAAGTGAAGATCAAAACTCCCCGCAAAGCCAGCTAAAACAACTCCAATATCCGGTTCATATTTCAATAGGAAATCTAGTTATTGTTTTTTTCCTTGTTTGGTTTTTCTCCTTTCCTGCGGAGTAATTCAAGTTCTTCACAAGATTCTTTCTCTCGGTCTCTGAACCGATCAAGTACAATGATGCATATACGGACTGCTGAGCGTGCGCTCCGATCTGAGCTTCAATTTACTCAAGGATGCTACACTTTTAAAAACACGAGTACGTATCCGTGATATCAACGGGAGGATTATGTGCTTTGTTCATAAGTGGATAAATGTTTGGAACAATCTACAAAGCGACCGCATATCATAACAAAAAAAGCAAACAGAAGGGACATTAGTGGTTGTTTGTGCAAATAAATGGGCTGTTTGTTTTATCTTGAGATGAAAGCACACATCTTCGACAGGAAGTGTCGATGATACATAGAAGAAATGTTGAAACGCCAATTTCCTCTTTTAAGTATCGAATGCTTCGCGCGTTTGAAGTGATGAAGGCTGCTGATGGGTTAGCTTTTTGGGTGGCTTTGAATGCATCGCCTAACTGAAACTACTGAGTTCGACTGCAGGTTACACAATTTTCAGAACTGCTGTAATTCAGTAGGTGCACAGTCTATCACAAACAGGCCTAGATAACGCTTGTACTCTGGTGTTATTATGGCTTAAATCATGAAACTGTGGAGCTTGTTGATTCTTCACTTAGATTCTATGAGCATTCTGAAAATTCATAACGTTTTTTCCCAGTATTTATATCGGTTAAGAATGTAAAATAAATACAACTGTTTCATGCCAACTCAAGTCGAAAAGTTGACCCGCTAAATGAACTCGGCGGACGATTAGATTCTGCATTAAACTCTGCCCAAATAAAATATGCTCTTCAAAGACACCCTTAAAACAGTTCTTTTACTACCAGGAAGTCAATGTTTTGTTTGAGAAGTGCACCATGTATGCGCGAGCAAACAAAAGCGAGGGCGCCGTGAGTTACATTTTACCATGGAATTTCAAACACCTTTGTCTTACAGTCTAGTGAATGATTCGCAACTTACCAAATCCCGCATTACAGAAGGCTTCCTGGGGATGTTGCGACATACAACTGCAGGCCTGGCTCAAAGCCACGAAACCCAGGAACAAAGCAGCGTGAACGATAAAGGACATTCTCTCCTTGTGTCGTTGTTGTACACTTCAACTCTCTACTTTGCCTCGCTTGTTGAGGATTAAAAAGAGTGATTGCTGTATCTGATAGCTGGCTCAGTTGCAGCTTATATACTGACATCATCAGCGCGTGTCAAATGTGATATCCCGCAGAGCCGGGTGCAGCTGACGAAAGCTCCGTGCCATGCGTCGCTGAAACGCGTAAGCAGCAGAAATATGTGTTACGAAACCGTATTTCCTCTGAAAGTGTGAAATAAGCGTCCTATTTCTCACTTCCTTTATAAAACATGAAGTTAATTGACACATTCCTGTCATGTCATCTGCCGTGCATGTTTTGTGCTGAAACGTCAGGGGCCATTTTTTTTTTAACGCTTGAGGGGACTCGTAGGATTTTTTTAGACCAGAGGAGTATGGAATTAGAAGTAGAACAAATTCAGTAGGAACAGTGGAAGATTGGAATAGTAAAAAATTGGAATAGTGGAAGATTGGAATAGTGGAAGATTGGAATAGTAAAATATTGGAATAATGGAATATTGGAATAGTAGAACACTGGAATAGTGGAACAGTGAAACAAAGGAACAGAGGAACACGAGAATAGGGCAAGAGAAGAACAGAGGAACATGATAAGGTATAAAAAGAGCTCGGACGAAATGAACAGAGGATTAAAAGTATACAAGGACAATAGAAAACGAGGAACGGTTAAACTGAGAGGAAAAATAGGAACAAATATACAAAGGAACAGAGGAATAGACGGACAAAAGAACAGATGGAAAGAGAAACGTAGAAACATAAAGACAGAAGGAGGACCAGAGGATAAACCCTCACCTCTTCATAGTATCAGTAAGAGACGAAGTGGCTTAATGCTCATTGCACTGGACTCCGGGTCGAGAGGTCCTGGGTCGAGAGGTTCCGGGTCGAGAGGTCCCGGGTCGAGAGGTCCTGGTTCGAGACCTGGCATAGTGTTGTGTTCTTGGGCAAAACACTCTCATCTCACAGTACCTCTCTACCTTGAATTCTCAGGGAAGCCTGATGAAATGCCGAGGGGAGGTGGGTGGGCGAAAAGGACCTTACCTCTCTTCATAGTATCAGTTCCTGACTTGGCCGTGGTTTTCACGTTGGCAGTTATTGGTTTAGAAAACACTTCTGGAACGACTTTTTCAATCAAATTTCCTTTTAAAAACGTTTGGTTTAATCTTGGCAAAAATTTGCCATTCATGATACAAAGATCGAGAAAAACGTCATTAGGTTAATGAAAATATCTATCAGCCATACTCGGCATTCTGTGTGTGTTTTTTTTTTCTAAAAGTCTAAAACTAACGAAGTGAATTGGCTGATATTAAAGTGTCTTACTCTTGTCTCTCTCTCCCTCTCTTTCGTTGTAGTTTTTTTTGCATGTTCTTTGTTCAGTTCCTATGGTTTCACTTTGGTGATGCAGGTCTTGTAGTGACTGGTTTTACGTCAAGAGCATGCGGTTTTCTCAGCATTTTGAATGCAGTAGGAATGACCCCATTCGCAGCTGTTGTGATCGATTCCAGAAGGCTTACCAAACCCCTTTAGCTTCGGCTTCTTGTCACAAAACACAGTGTAACACGGCGAGATCTGACAGGCGCAGTTTCCTCGGTAAAACCGCCGCACCCCCAAGACGCTAGCGCACAGTGATTTGAGGCCATTCCTGGTTCCAGTGGCACTGATTGAGCTCTAGCTTTCTTTTCCTGACTTGGCCTGAGATGAGGTACACTTTGTTGTTATTCAGTTTGACCCCGCACAGGCTATCAAGAGTAAAGGTGTAAGCTTTGGCATCGGCTTCGCTGTCTGGAGCCGTAAACGTTGACGTTTTCCATCTCATGGAGTCGGTGTTCTCCTTTATATGTTTTCAGGATGCGGAGGTCGAAGATACGAGTAAAATTGTCGAGGTATTTCTCCAGAAACAAAACCTTTGCTCGGATAACTAGACATGGGAAGGAAAAATACAGATAGTAACAATGTTTTCTAGTACACCGTAACTAGGAAACTATTTTTTTTTATTGTAGCGCCATCTTTCTGTATATCAACCACACACATCCCACAATTCCTCCACTCGCTTGGATGAAGGGCTAACGCTCGAAATGCCATCCTTAGAATCCCAATTCAACTTATAAAGTCAAATGATCATGTTATAAGCGCCGCAGACACAGCACCACAGTTTCTTTTTCTCTCTAGAAACAGTCAGTCTCCTTCGCGCTTTCGCCTTCGCAGCCACTCTTTGGATTGTCAGGCAAGGTTTCCTACATAAGAAGCGTTACTTCCCAAGAAAGCGTTGAGCAACATCGCCAGGGATGACTGAGATTTATTGAGTTCCAGGTTTAAAATAAGACGTATTCAAGCACTTGTTGAGCAACATTGTACATTAACTGGAACAAAAGAAACTGTTTACTTATGAAAAGGGTTCAAATCCCACAGACACCGACTTGGCCACCGTGATGAGCGGAAGGGCGGGTGGGCATTAGTCAAACGGCGCGCGCGGTTGTCCAATAAACGCTGACCCCACCATTTTATTTTCGCACACTCGCTTTTCCGACTAAGAGTCTTACGCAGTGTACTTCAAACGAAAGAAAGTAACCACAGCTGCCAATCAGAACAAGGTAAAAATGTTACGAAGAGCCAATCAGAACTCACAGTTAAAACAAGCAAACTGCAGCAGCCCAAAGCGCGGGAAAACGTGAATGACCAATCGCAGTGTTGTAGTGTCGCGTTTGATGTTTGATGGGGAGGCACCGAGTTTCCTTTTCGAATAATGGAGCATAGACATATATTTTTTCCGATTTATTCCGGAATACTTTCGACATTCCAATATTAAAAACTTTGCTCCAATGCTTAAATCAACTTTTGTTGTCTGGGTGAAATTTCTGTTGATTGATACCTTCAGGAATTTTTAAGAGTATATTAATACGGAGGAAATTAAGAGAACTGCTAAGGATAACATGTGACCTAACCTCATTAATTAAACAAATGCTCTTTCCGGCCAAAAATTGAATTGGAGTCCCATCGTGATAATAAGCGATAAATTAACTTTGTTTGGAAAAGCCCTGCAAATATTTTTTTAAGTAAGTGTGAACAGGAAAGGATTTGATTTGGTTTCCAAACCTGAAGCTTAAAGAAGGTGGCTGTTGTGGCCAATGACCTCATTTATTAAAAATTCGCCCTGAGTCCTCGTTTGTACGAACGTTTTTAAGAATCTTTGACAGTTTCTTGTTGTTTCAATGTGGTAAATTCATTTAATTTTTTGTGTTTTGGGGATGGATACCTTCCTGTTAAAATTCACCAGTTTGCACGTTGAAAGCGACTGCAGCTTGGGGTGAAATTGGGTATACCGTCGAAAATATGCAGAAGGCTTGTTTTGTCGCGAGCTTGGGGTTAACAGAAATATTAGTCCCCTTTTGAAGATTGAAATCCTTAAAAAAAGTTCCGATTTCGCTGTTGGATACAATATCATTGATTTAAAGGGCGTGCTTTAATAAGCTCAAGAGAGGTCTTGGAATAAGTTCAAATAAGGCAGTCATTCTGCCAAGTAAGAGCTTCATCGATGACGAGTGCTTTCGACTTGTAAAGACTTATTGATTAAAATTTGCTCTAACACACTCCAGGTTATTATCTTCATAACGTAAAATGAAAAATAACTTTAGAGGTTTCATCATTTCTTTTAAAAACTGAAGTTATTGGATTGTTTCAAGTGTGCATGTAGCTGCAAGAAGTACAGATGGTCATATACACTAGTTACAAAATAAAACAGATATGGCGTGCGAAATAAGTCTTTGAAAATGTCGTTTTTACCCTTAAACACAGACATGACGTAAACCCTTGTCGTGTTTTTTTTTTGTTGTACTTCGAAACTAAAGCAGTTCGTATGTTGAGGCACCTGGTTTTTAAGAATCAGTTGGGTAATTACAGGATTGCTCTTGGCTTTTTAAGTTTTGTGGTCGCGGTACATAAAAGAAGTTTGATATTGTTTTACCAAGGATTTTTGTTTCGAACTAGCAGTCTTACCAGTTCTCTATGCAAAAAAAGACAAAACAAAACAAAACGTTTTTTAAAGTCGAGACAGGTTTACCAAAAGATTCTCAAGATTTTTAATAATAGTATATTTTTTTTTTCGTTACTTTGAATTTGATGAGTCAATCGTTCGAAGAAGTCGCCCCGAAAATAACTCATCTTTAAATAGAGATGGATAATGTATGGATATTATCAGGAGATAATTTTGCAATATTTTGAAAGACTTAGGACTAATTCAATTATTTAAAATCAGAAAAACCTTTCACGCGTCGAACTAACTTATACATTGCACATATAAAATGGCAACTGTCATCGAGTATTGATGAAACATGTTAAAAATAAACCTAAATTGGTCTCATAGTTAACAAATACTACGTTAGTTAATTCTAGTTGGTTGTTCGTCTGAGAAAATTCGCTTTTATGTCATGAAAACTGGAAGGGAAACATGATTGTTAATTTTGTCTTTCCCTATTGTCGTCGAACCTGCTTGTAAACAAGTATTCATTGTGTTTTTAAATCTTTGACTTTGAAAGCATATCTTCTCTCATTTTTATGGGTGATCAGTGCTCAAATTTTTCTCTAAAATTATATATATATGTCTATTGTTAGAAAATAAAAAAATTATCAACACCTAGTTTTTAGGAACAATTAAAAGAGAAAAATACTGTTTTATGTTAGAAATACAGCCTGCGGATCAAATGATCTAATTACAAAGGTAGTAATCTTCGCGGAAGACTCGAAATCATTAACCCTTTAACTCCCAGAAGTGATAAACAAGATATTTCTCCTGATAATTACCACACATTATCCAGCAAACAAATGATGAGAACACTAAGACTTATTAGGTTGAAGTTGTTAAGATGATCTAGCACCAAAATCTCATAACTAATTCACAAGCAGCTGGAAGAGAGAAGTAACAATCAGATCTTGGGAGATAAAGGTTAGGGTAAATTTTTATGTTCTATGTTTTGTTACACATGCTCTCTATTTAAAGATGAGTTATTAGTCTCGAGGTCGTTATCGTTTTTCGCACAAAAATTTTGAGTAGTCTAACTAGGGCCGGGGGTTAGCCA